AAATAAGCATTAGAGTTGCATATTGCTACTGCTCTGCAGAATTAATAAGCTGCAGTTTGAACAAATTTGTAAGGAATGCTTAAGTCCTGGATGTTTCGAACTTGAGTGAAATTTAGGTAGCAGTGTATCACATCACGCTGTTTAATCCTTAAACTCCTAGATGTGATCAGCATGTAACTTCTCCCTAAAATATCCATACAATATCCAACAAAAGGGTAATGAAAAAAGTTACCTTGATCTAATGACAAATTCCTATAACAAATGTACAAGGAAACGTCTAGAAACTAGAGGGGAGAATTAGCAAACAGATCTTGGGAGTTAAAGAAAGAAGACAAAATTTCTTCATTTTATGACCTTGTTAAAGATAAAAAAAAGGAAAAACATTGTAACTTGTCAGCCTCACTCAGCTACCCTGACATACTCAGGCAAACTATTGAAAATTATACCTACAAAGTTAGTTAACACCCAGTACCATACCATTTCTCACATTCCAGTGAAGAAAGATACATTGGGTTAGATATATGTAGTGGAATGAAACTCTTGGTTAAAACATGTTGTAAAATTACTTACCATGTGCTAAATAAAAGATTCATGACAAAGGAAATTTTAGCATGTATGGCAATAAATACAAATTTTGGCGAAATTCTGCCGCTGAGAACTAAAATGACTAACAAACCATTTTAGTTTAGTGATGTGGTCACATCACTCTCCGACATTTCGCGCCATCTTTGAAAATCTCATGTACTTCAGTCAGCGGTCACCAACCTAGCTAGCTTCCAGACTCCTGCTATTTCTCTTCCGCTAGTTTTCTGAGAAAAACAATAGGTCATAAGATAAGCAGAGGGGCATTTTGTTGCGCATGTCCGGTAAATTTTAGTTTGATACGAGAAACCGCTGGTATGCGCCTGCGTCGGTTTCCCTTTCGAGAATCACGAAAGAAAAGAAGCAGTAAAATACGTCGGAAAAAACAATGGTTCGAGTATTTGAGACAACCTTTCTTCTCATTTTTTCTTCTGTAACGTAGATGGAAGCGGCAAATCCTTGAAATTATTGTGTGATGTGTGGAAGGAAGTTATTTTCAGAATGCAAAAGATTGTTCGAGTCTTGTCTCGTGATTGTCTGGGCGATCGATGAAGATGATGTTATTTTTGAAGGATGCAAGTGGCCTGTCGAAGAGTACAAAAGAATTGGATAGTATACTTTTATCGTGTCATTGCTATCTCAAGTTATAGGTGATCATATGAAGTACTCGCCTTTCTGTAAGCATTTTTTAGAGCTTCAACTGTACTGCTAGTGCAGTGTACCTCCAATTTTGGCAAAAATGTAAAGTTTACAGAGGTTTATGTTTTGTTTCAAAAGTTTTTTTTTTGACATGAATCACAACCGGCAGGGCCGATTACCAAAATAAAAAAGGTCAATGTCGAGTAAAGAAAAGTAAGACAATGCTAATGCAAGAGATATGGTAGCTCCATCTGGTTAGAAATGGAGGAATAATTATGGATTTTATCAGAGTAAGATAAAGTCTTTTCAATCATTAGTCTCGGAAATATCATCAGATATGATCGATGATGTGGGGAAATTGTGAAAGAAAACAAGTACTACTTTGGGCTTCCAGTTGTAAGATGAATAGTTAAATCAATTATTACCCAGTGAAAATCACTATCATTTATCATTTCAACTGCACAAAAAAACCATATACACTCTTTGCAACCTTACTCTCCAACCTATTAAATTACAAGAGTTGTGTGACAATTTGATGGTCTGAAAAGACTCTTACACATGCTAAACAACAGAGAACCAGTAAGGCTGATATTTAACAGTGAGGGTAAAAAAAAAAAAGCCTTTTCTTTTCAGGAATAAGACTTAGTGAGGTCAGATTAAACTAATGTGAAGAGGTTTGTTGATCTCTTTATGAAAATTGATGCTCTACATCTATCAGATTTTAGAGAAATGAGACCTAAGTCAAAAGGGGACTTTGATATTGCATATTCTGCAGTAATGGGCATCAGCTTGGATGCCTATTTGCAGAAATTAATAGTTTTTGAAAATCCACCTCAACCTCCCAAAAACGAATTCGCCGAAGGTTATAGAAAGAGCAACTCAATCCTGAAGCTGGAACATTTTTTTAAGCCTTGTGTCCAATGGGACAACAAAGAGAAAGAAGATAAGATGTTATTTGAAGTGATTTGAAGCTTGGGGGCCACCTCGAACTTAACGTAATTTTATTTCAAAGTTGAAGTAAAATAAGATCCAATTGTAAACTACCTTCTATTATCGTAACGAATATCTCACGATCGCCTCCACACATCACTTCGTGATTTATAGAAGTAAGACATCAACATCTTAAGACTAACCTTCAAGGTTTGTAGTCTCATGTGCACATCTTGATCGTCAGCAAATCAAATCTCAAACTTCAAGTTTTCGACTTTTTTTCGCGTTTTGTTCGCACTTTGATCATTAAAATATCCTCATCCGAAGAGCCAGCAAACTCCACAAGTATCCACAGAGTTAGAAATGGTAGTAAACTTGTCATACTCTTCCATCCCTCTCCAAAAAATATCACAGAAAGGTGTCGATCGCTCAGTTGAAAACCGGCAAAAGCGCGCTGAAAATATCGAAATGGCGCCGAACGCGCCGAACAAACTTTCTTGGCGCATGCGCAACAAAATGCCCCTCTGCTCATAAGATAACCATAATCTAATTGGAAATCGCGGAACCAAATGAAAGGAGCTGTCAGACGAGGGCGGTTGAACCACGCGCAGTTTCCTAACAGATTGCTTCGAAAATGGCAATTGGATCTGCGGAGAACACTTCTCAGGGGTACGTACTCTGTCTTGGATGTCGATATTTCCATGAATGAATGCGCCCTAGATTCGCGCCCGCTCGTTCTGCGATTTGCTTCTTTCGTTGCGCTGTCGTAGCTATATCGTTTGTTTATTGAAAAATATTCAAATTCGCAGCATGAAATTTGCAAAACGTTATTTGAAGTTTTATACGCTGTTATTCAAAAACAATTTCATGTAATATAAAATGACCCCATAGAAAAAAAAACTATGTTTAAAAGTTCTACCGATGGGACTTAAATGGAATAAATGTTTGTAACACTGTTCTTTGCGCCTGTCTTTCAAAGATCTGATGTCATGCAATGCATTTAGTCTCTATTGTAAAACTAGAATCGACCATATCTCCGGAATTTTTTAGGGCTTACTGCGATTTGATAAACAAAACGAAACGAACTGAAAACATGAACATCTCCATGGTGTTCTTTGCTGAATCTTCACTATATTCTCGAAGAGATCAAATCCTCTACTGTATGTAAGGGAAGGACTGCGCCATTTAGCCATAAAATGCAAATCTATAATTTCAAAATAAGATTCAGTGAGGCTGCAGCAGTGCAATTACAAGCTGTTAAGCATCGATGTTCGTAGTCGATGAATAATTCAATTGCGTGACATCAGATACCTTCCCTGAAAAATATCGCGTGACTAAAGTTGTTTTGCAGCATGTTTCTGATTGGAAAATAATAACGATAAAAAAGTTTTCGTTGAGGTTTCAGTAATAATAATGTTTGTTGTGTTATCACTTGTGTGATTTGTGGACTGAATTGACCGATTCATCCTTGAGGGGGGCATTGGGATTTTCGATATTTTTTTAAGATCTGTTTTTGTGCCAAAGAATTTTGGTTTTTCGGATTGGGCGTTTATTACGGATTGCGGATTTTCCGTTCTTTAGCATATGGTTTTCGGTCTTATGGGCTTCGGATTTGGTTTTCAATGTGGTTTTCGGATTTTCCTATTTGGATTCCGGTTTCTCTCACACACGGGTGACAACGGTATCTGAAAATCTCAACTCCTTGTAGGATTGTTAACAGTTAATTTATAAGAACTTGATCTAAACTTCTCATTTGAGTATATGGAATGAGTGCACAAAACGAGTTTTAACTTGTAAAATTCCTTCTGAATACTGTTTATTAATACATCCTTTGATCTGTTTCAGATCAAGTTGAACGTACAAGGAGAGGAAATTGTTATTCCCCTTGGTCCTGTTGAGGAAGAAATACACCATCCTCTGCTAGAGACAACGCAGCATGTTCTTGTGGCCAAGTAATTCAGTTTATTATAGAAACTCAAATGGAAAGTGGCAAATTTTAATGTTAAAAAATTCTACGATATACGACGGAATAAAGAGTAAACATTTGATGCAACTCTCTAAGAACCAATAAACTAAAAGAAATAATTTTACATAGAGTTTGCTCTTATTTTAATGTTGCTTAGTTATACATGTTGATACAAATCATTCTCCGTCTGCGGAACTGAATTTTTTCCTAAACCCTATCTTCATATCTATTTTTAACTCTACAATACCTGAAACAAGATGTAGAAATATATTAACCTTGTTTCTTCTTCTTATTTTAGCGGTTAAATATTCAGTTTCGTAACCTACTGTGAACATATCACAAGCATTTTAAGTACTAGATATTTTTTAGGATAGGGGACCACCATTTGTCACCCTCTGTAAAAAGTCGGCAGTTACTCTCAAGATGCTGAGAAGTCACCTGTTTAAAAAGTGATGAATTGAAGTTGCGAGGAGACGTTAAAAGTTATTTATCACTAAAAGTTTTTGACTTGAAATGTATATCTGCCAACCGACACTGATATCATAATACCTTAACATACATTTACAATTTTATTAGACGCCATCTTGGGGTGTGTCTACGGATCATTCGTTGGTAACGATGCAAAGCTATCCTTGAACTGTCTCAAGGACAACCATAAAATGCAACATGCTTAACCTGTTTGAAAGTAAAAAGTTAAAGACAGTAAGCGTGATCGAAATAGGCGTGAGCCCTTCAATTATGGTAGAAAAAAAAATAAAACCTATGTTCGCTGACAAAATTGAACCAAAACCACGTCAGTCCATTCTTTTGAAAAGTTTGAAAAAAATACGACCGACCTCCCTGACAATTGATTAAACCGAGACCATTTCGATGCACGCACGGATTACTGGGTTGAAGTCTTTGCTGATTGATTAATATGAACGACGCAAACACCGTCTAAATGGCGAAGTAGATACAAAAAAAGCATACCTGAAAGTGTTACATGCAGGCTCTCGCCAGCTTTGAGCAAAATTCCACAAGAATCGAAGGTAATTGAAAGCTGTTCAGCGTCCTAATAAAACAAAATTCACAATAAACTTAATTTAACAGTCCTGTAGCGTTTTACGGTCTTTAGAGTTTGTTTTCGCAAAAGAAAGATGTTGTACCTGAGCCACTGTTGTGACCAGCAACTCGTCACTTCCTCCTGCCATGCGCGCCAAGGCAGAGGAGGCACGTGACTTGAGAGTGAACTGTGATAGGCTTAGTTCTCCATGATGAACACAAAGCTGGAAAACAAACAAAAGAGTCTGAAATATTTCAAAGTGGATACTGAAGGCTAAAATTCACTGGCATTGCAAACACAAACAATGTTTGTATTCTGTAGCGTGAATACGAAACAACATCGGCGCAAAACTGTGTCTATTTCAACCCTCCTTTATGTTCAGTAAGGCAAAGAAAAAAAACTTCACACAAAAAAAATCATAATATTTTACCTCAGCAGTTCCATCTCTCATTTCTTCATCTCCCTTCTGTTTAAACTGACCCCAAGCAGTGGCAGTGATAAAAAAGCCACAGAAGTCTGACGGATTGATTCGCGGTGCAAACCCAAGGCTGATCAAAGGATTCCCAACCTCGGACAACTTCCAAGTCTGGTAAAAAAATAATTCAAGAAAAAGTGAAGACTTACGTTCAATCGTGATTTTTTAACCCTTCACACCCTAATCTCAGTATGCATATTCTCCATACAGTTCTCTACAGCTTTCCACAGGTATTGACAAGGAGAATTTGTTTAACAATCAAAAAAGCTTCCTTAGTTGGTGATCATTTCCTTTATTCTCGTGACGTTACTGTTTGATTCAAGGCTGATATTGTATGGAGAAATTAGACGCTAGTCGCTCTTAGGAGTTAAAGGTTTAGGAAGCCACATTTTCAATCCATATCATCTTATTCTTATCAATTTGAGGTCGCAATAATCTTGGTTAGCTCAGCTCAGCTCAGCTCAGGTGACGTCGAGTCGTGACGTCCTCACTGTTTTATGGAAAATCCCAGAGCAGATAGAAGTGTCCCCCTAGAGTACTTAAAAACTTTTTTAAACAATCATCAAGCAGGAACAAAGCGATTTAGAATTCAAATCGCATGTGCTTCCCTTGTAAATGTCCCCGCTGCAAAGTTAAAACATTAATTAAACCTCGCTCATTGTCTCATAACCATTGCTTCACCGCTGCACGTTCCATGAAAGGGGCACACAAAACCCCCACGCACACGAGCAAAAGCTTACAACACAAGCACTGGATGTCAATATCATAATTAAGAGCTACTGATAGCGAAGTGCTCCTTACCTGACCTGAGGCGAACTCAAAAAAGGTAAAAGCTGCCATTGGGCGAATATAATGGTCGCCACACTCAATCTCGTTCCAAGGACTGCGCCGAGTGCCGTCATACTTTTCACGGGTGTCGGTCAAAACTAAACCAGAAAAGGTGTAACGTGAACAAAAGAATCTTAAACAAAAGGAGATGGGAGGAATGTAAAGTCAAACATCCTAAAATAAGACACTCTATGGACGAACAAACGCACAAACAAAAAAGACAGAGAGACTGTCAATACCATCGAGTGCTGTGCTGACCATTAACTGATTCAAACATAACTGGGCAAATTCGTACTCCAAACTAGTCCAGGCTCCCTTATAAAGCGAAAAAGGAAATATAAAATACATTAGATTTCATCTGAGGACAAACACTTCATCGTTTCAATCTTTGTGTATTCTAAGTTACGAATGCGTTAGCGTGACACTGGTAGAAACGATTGCGTCTCTAATGTGTAGAGTGCTGAGGATGGTAGCCTGCATAGCTAAATCGACCCTCTCCGAGTGAGCATGTTCCCAACGCCAACAGCTCATTGCGTGACAAGAAGATAAAGCAGTTATATAAACGAAGGTTTCTACACCCATTGAAACTGACAAGCATGAATTGGACATAATTTAGATGAAATGCACCACTAACCTCACTACTGTACCGGAAGGGATTTTCTGGAGGCGATCCAGGCCATCGACAAATGTAGAGTCCGGCGTCTCGCTGATCGAAGAACTTCCGGGGATTCTGGTCCGCTGATAGACATAATTAAAATATAACGTTACTTAATCTGACATAAAACGAAATATTTTCATTTGTCATTTTTACTCTTGACTTTATATTGACGTGAAACCACGTCAAAACGTCTTCAAAATATTTTACAGTTTTTAGGGTTCTATATCTTAAGCCAGGATAAATTTTATTCTAATATTTGAATTAACCGTTAATTATTATGACCATTACTACCATTATTATTAGTATTAATATTGATTTTATTAGTACCACTGTTCACCTGACCGGAAGGATTCATCCTTCGTAGCCGTTCTTAAAAATGTCACGCAACACTCCTCTCAGCTCTTCTTCTAGCAGCGTTGCGTGACATTTCAAAGAGCGGTTATTAGGAAGACTGCCCATGAATTTTAGCAGACGCACGTCGCGCTAGAAACAAAAGAAAACCTGAACGAGAGAACCATCTTCATCGAATACAATTTGCCATACCTGGATTAAACGAATCCACGTGATTGCTAGAGTAAATGTACTCCAAAGTAGACATGACATGCTCCTTTGGTAAAATATCACCGAGCTGCAAAACATTTGCCCACCACTGGCCAAGCAAACAATCAATGAACGTTCCTAAAAATAAAAATGTTCAAGCGTCAAGTCCATTACTTATGTAATATTGTCACGCAATACTTTCTCACTTCATCCGCCTCACTCAAAAATTACACTAAAAAGGCACCCTACCGTCAGCAATTTCCGCTTTTGGATTCTTTGGATCCAGCACCTACAAAACAATACCGGATACAATTAACACATGAGGTTTAGTGGAAAGGGAGGAATGGCTGTGATCAATAAATTTTGTACGGGCTCACTTCGTCGGAAGGTGTAAATCTTTCCCCTTTTCACAAAGGAGTCCTTTAAGAACCCCAGATGTGAAACGATGCATTCACACTCTGATATGACAGATTTAGTAAAGGATGATTATGGGTAACCTAAAAATAATCATATGGAGTCGTCGCTTGATCCTTTCAAACAACTTAAGAAAGTTTTCCCCTTTTCACATTCGCACTTATGGAAGCCGCGCCCGTTCATTCATCACGCGCATGAAAAAAAGGATCTCCTTTTGGCTGGAGTATCCATGTATAATCCAGATCAGAGGGACTAGGATCAAAGACTCAGTCATTGAAGCATTAATAGACGGGGTTCGTTCTTCCAAACCGTAGCAAAAACGGTGACGCGTACGTCGCCAACAAAAAAGTACAGTTCACGCTTGACTTAGATATAATGAGTTACAGAAAAAAAGAAACAAAAGAAGATCAAATAATTCTGATCAAATTCACTAGCATTCTTTAGAACAAATCCAAATGGATTGCTACCTCGTCCTGATAAAGAGGCTCTGAGCTACGTCATTCTTGGGTCACATTAAGGGCATTGCACACTCAAAAGTTCTTCTGGAGAAAGGGCTCACCTGTGTGTACCATTTTCCGTTTGTGTAACAGGCCTTATCGAGGTTGGCACTTCCCAGTTTGAACCTGGCGGAGTACTCATCAGCAAGGTCCTTAAAGGCCCAAAATAAATAGAAACGTTTAAAGCTGTCCCAGTAAGTGATCTTATCTGAAACGATTGTCGACACCTTTCAAATGCATTAGCTTGCGAACAAGCCATTATCCTGATTAGCGCTTCGACGTGTGTGTCTTTGCCCGCGGGAAATTAAGAGGCCTTGAGAAACGAGAGCCGGCGAAAGTTCCACAAGGGAGGGAGACGATAAACTTCTCGCCTCCCGACTCTTCTCAAACTTTCTCGCGGGAAGAAAAACGCGCGTCCAGCAGCGCTAATAATAAAGACCTGCTCGCAAGCTGAGAAACAAAGCCAGGACTGGCAATAAGTGGGACAAGATTCACTAAACTAGAATCTCCTGGCGATATGGAGGCAAATCAGGTAATTTCACGGTCAAAATGATTAAATTTTCATTACAATCAGGAGTAACATGTACTCGAGGATTCCTAATGCCTCCCTTTCCAACTTTGCGTTGTTTTTACACTTTTACCCCCAAGATCTGATAGTTAATTCTCCCTTCTAGCTGCGACACATTTCCTTGTAAAATAGTTAAGAGAATTTGGTGTTAAATCAAGATAACAACTTCTTCGTGTTGAGTTTTAGTATTTTCATTACCTGTTTGCTGGATAATATATACATAAGATAGGGAGAAACTACATGTTAATCACCTCTGGGAGTTACAGGGTTAAACTGTGGAAATATGGCAAAATGGGAAAAAAAACTTTACTGTACCGATTCTTTTTGAAGTATCGCCATCTCCTCCGCAGCTCTATAATACAATACGAGGAATAATGGATCAAGGAGGTAAGTTTCTAGAGAAATTGTGATGCTGTGTCGGTGGGAAAGTATGACAGGGTAATTTAGTATTATCATTTGAGTTGATAACATAAATTGGCCACCGTAAAGAGTTTAAAAGCTGACGTTTCGAGCGTTAGCCCTTCGTCAGAGCGATTGACGAAGGGCTACTGCTCGAAACGTCAGCTTGTAAACTCTTTACGGTGAATAATGGATCAGTTTGGTACAAATCTACCGAGCAGCTTTGTAGAGTATCAGTTCATTCAACAGGATGCGATAGAGACACACCTATATATAGCTAAGTCCTTTCTTTCGAAACAGAAAAATAGCTCAACATTTCATTTCGAGACAAAAATAAATAAAAGACTACAAATTCTCCTGTATTGCTGAATTATTCCGACTGAAAACTCTCGAAAATCTCATTTTAACTTAACTAATTTTAATAATGCAAACGTTTCTCACTAATGAGTGTGCAAAGTAGTCTGTGATTGCCATGGGTTTGCTTTACTTTGCACTGTGACTGGTCTAGAAATCTTGCGTGTTCCTCTCAGTCAATCACTTTGCATTGGCTTTGGCACCAACTTTCTAACCAATCAGAAGCAAAAAAATGCAACCAACAGCGACTTAGACACCCGCGTTTTCCCGCTCTATAGGACGGGTACGCGTGTTTATACTGAGTTTTCATTGGCTCCTTCACAACCTCTTCTTTATTCTGATTGGCTGTAGCGATGATTTTGGTTCCGGTTAATCGACAGTCAGTTGTGAAAATTCTTAACTATTAAAGGTTTTCACACCATCACTAAAACAATGGTGGCTACTTACCGTAATGCACAATGATAAAGACAGCACGTGAAAGTATTCACACCATAGAAACAGGTGTCATAAGTATTGGGCTGGGGGGCACGAATCAAACCTATGAAGACGAAACATCGACAGAGTGAATATTGTCAATAAAGAAACGCATGACAACTTTTAACGAAAAATTCTCAATAAGCCAAAAAATACAACTACTGACAGCGTTTAAAAATATTCTTTACCATCTCCCGAATCTAGGTCCCCCATCCATCGTGCCATGATTTTCTTAACCGCTGGCCATAAACCATCAAACCACTTTTGAGGAGCCCCCTGAAGAACCTGAAATGATGGACAAGAAGGACCACGGTTGCATTTCTCTCATGAGCCTTTAGTGATCTGATTTTAGAGATTTGCCAAATGTATATTGGCTTATAAATAGACTGAAAGTCGAAACAATAAAATCAAAGATATCCCAGTGACCAATCAGAACAAAGGTTTCCATTGTCATTAACCAATAAGAACTCAAAGTGAATTCAAGCAAACTGCTTGAAGCGCAGGAAACCCGGGTGGCCAGGTCGCGATTTATTTGGAACTTGCATCTGATTGGTTGAGAAGAAAGCGCGAGTTTTTCTAAACCAATCACAGAACAAAGTTTACTGAACATAAGCAACCCCGGATGATTTTCGACACTCAGTTTATCTTACTTTAGAGAAGATCGTTTCGTATGTGGTATATTTACCTCCCTGTAGGTTTTCAACACGGTTCCAATTTCGCCATCAACGCATATCGTAGTAGAGGCCGGGTCAACGTCAGTGTAGTTTGGCCAAAAGCTCCACCAGCGTCGAAGCTCAAGAGGCACAGTAGTGCGGCTAAAAAAATTATAAAAACAACACTTAAACATATTTAAATTACCAGTGAGCGTTTATGTCCTACCTAACCTCTGAACCGCACTAAAATCGATTCACGCTTCCAAAAGAGTAGGACGGTATTTCTCGCAATTACATTTTCTTATTGGCCAGCTCTCCTGCGTCTGCCTATGGGCTAAGTGTTTACCCGCGTCTCGGCTGCAAATTCTCCCGCGCTTGGTACCAACTCCAGGTTTTCCCGCACTTAGCAGCGGCTCCATCACCTTTTCCCGCGCTTCGCACCCGCGCTTCCGCAAGTCAAGTTATTGCGTCTAACACTCGCTGCATGTTTTCAACTCGATTAATTATTGGTTCGCTACAGGGATGAAGTGCTTTATCTTAAGCAAACCGTACCACGGTATGATGGCATTGGGAGCTATCTGCTCTTTCAGATCAACCACTCGCATGGTTCTCTCCAAATCAGGGAAACACCTAATAAGAAATAAAAAATTCACGAGCACTGTTAGATACATTTGACTAAAGTTAATATCATTGGCACCTGGAATACACTAATCTTTTTGAGGCGTCATCTCTACTAAACATTGTGAAGACAAATAACAGGTTACCATACTCTCAGTGAAGGTGAAAAGGTTGCGCAAAGAGAAGAGTGCCATGAATCCCAACCGCGAAACTTCAAAAGGGATCGTTTCAAAAATGACCCAGACGTTCGCAAAAAGTAGACAGTTCTAGTGCCGCAGAACTTACTTTGCAATGGCCATTTCGTAGTTGAACACGTGTGTGCAATTGAGCGGGCAACAACCTGACGACATGAAATATGAAATCAGTATCAAAGTTCCTCAAATAAGCACTAACGCAGTTCAAATGACACCTTAGTAATAGCGTCTTGGCAGAGACAATTTTCAAAGGAAAATGAAAAATTTCCAACTTTCTCCTTTACAGGTGGCCAACAACTTAGAAAGTGCGTTTATTTTTGTGTTGGAGAAGTGCAGTAAAATTCAATTGAGGAGAAACATTCAACTAAGCGTCGATGGTATTCGGGAATTACTTTGGTTTCGCTTTACTTCGCTCCGTGATTGGTCCAGAAAACTCGCGCCACCTTATAAACCAATCAGGGACACACTAAATCAAGTCGCAATTTTGTCACGCTCGGTAATCCGTGCTTCGGAAAGGTTGCTTGTACTCGTTCGTCCCTTATGATTTTCCCCTCAGCTTTGATTTGCCATTCTGATTACTTTGAAGTTGGTTTAACAACACTCGATTAAAAAGCGCTTCAACAAGAACTCACCTCCAACCTTACTACATCCTGAAAATGGAAGGGAAAAAAAAGACAACCAGAAACGTTAATATATAGATTTAATTCAATATATACATTCAATCAAGTTCAAAGATTCAATCTCGTAATGTACTGGCAAACGCTTCGACCTCTCCAAAATTTAAATTCAATTTTGCATACTGTAAAACGGAGCTGAGAGTTTCCAGAATCACTTCCCCTAACAAGAACCTAGCTTGCGAGAAGGCCATAGTTATTTTAGCGCTGCAGGACGCGCGTTCCTCCATCCACAGGAATATATGAGACGAGTCGAGGAGAGGTTTAACGGGGGTCTGTTACTATTATCAGTGCCAGACCCCTTACAGACCTGTCGCCAGCTCGCGTTGCTCAAGGCCTGTCACTTTTCCACGGGTGGAGGGAGGCTCGCGCCCAAGCTCTCATAATGAGGCCTGCTCGCGGGCCAACAAGAACCATTATTGCATTTTCACCCTGACCACGTGATAACATGATAGTTTTAAAACTGTATTCACCCCTTAAAACTTCAAGTGTCTGATAAGTCTTTCTTCTTCATTATTGCTTTACATCTCATAAAAAATTAGCTTAGCAAGTTTGGTTTTACACCCAAACTGAAACGTTTAATCCCATATTCTCATCGCCAGCATGCAGGATAATGTATCAGCGTTGTATGAGGAAGTTAGATGTTAATAATTTGTACCTTCAAATCCATAAAGATTGCCATCAGCCAACCACATGCACGTGGGGGATCTAACAGAAAAATATTTCATCTCTCTTTAAATCTGATGAACGTAATGACTCGATTCAGCGCCCGGGTGCTTATTCACTTTTGGTACCTCAAAGGAGGGCACTTGTACGGAAAAGGGTGCTTATTTCAGTCTTTCTTGAGAAAGAGCCGAATGTGCGAAACAAAGCTTTAATGTTTATTGGAAAAGAATTCCATGTTTTCTGGCGGTACTTTCCTTGAAACAGAATCGGGGCACATTTTGGAAAAGGGACGCTTATTGGTATGTGCGTGCTCACTAATAGGGGCGGTTGTTGGTATGTGTGTGCTTACTCAATAGGGGCGCTTATTGGTATGTGCGTGCTTACTCAATCGGGGCGCCTATTGGTTTGTGCATGCTTACTCAATAAGGGCGCTTATTCGCAAAAACCAAATTCAAGGAGGCGCTTATTAGAGAGGAAGCGCTCATTGGAAGGAGGGAGCTTCACCAAATCATTACGGCATGGACTTAGTTGATCCTTGTTAACCCTTTACACCCTAACATCAGTAGCCATATTCTCCATACTGCTCTCTACATATTTCCGACAAGGAGAATTTGTTTAATAATCGAGAGCAGTAGTAGGCGATCATTTCCAATTTCATACAGCCGTTGTTAAAATAACTATAGGCCTCCAAACTTTAACTGCGATCCACAAACTTTAAATGAAAACCCACCTTACAACAGACAGCCGTCCAGCTGCACTGTCAATCATTTGCCACGGTAATGTGGAATCAAACATTGCATTCCTAAAGACCCTGGTCGACAATGTTAAGGACTCCAAGTTAGCAGTTGCGTAGTTCAAAACCTGAAATACATACAGTGGAGGCCATCGTCAACATTTCTTCTTTAATTTCACTCACAATGGCATCAAATTACAGATTGGGTGAAAGAAATATAGGCTACGCTCTGTTCACTGACGAAACAGTTTTCAGCAGGGTGAAATTTACGACATCACTGCATGAGGGCAGTTTTTTTCTTTTATTTTAAATAAAAGCACAAACTAAATAACAAAGATAAAATGTATGCCAAGCTCGGTTCTAAAGGAATTCGAGTTGTCGCAAGCTAATTTTTGTGAAGTTTTTAAGATCCAAAATGAAAATCAATATAACTTTTTAGCCTAGACCATTACAGTGTAATTATTTTTTACGATAATTATGCCCAAATTTAGGTTAACAAAATTTACCATGTCCTCCAAACACAAACAACTTAGCTTTGAAGATCATAAATTATAAAAAACACTTAAGGGCCTTGATTCTCCACCTGTATGACTAAATCAGTTCAAAAGACAGTAAGGGAGTACGTAAATTCTGTAACCCCGAGGCACCAGTTGTTCACAGGGTGGTTAAGGCTTTCCCTTGCATAAATCTTTATCCTGTGGATAGCACATTACATTTTATTAACACTTATCCGCTGGATAGCGATGTATCTGATGAATAGCGCTATCCACCCCTCTGACCAAACGGACCTAGGTGTACCACCTTATGGGCACCACAGCATAACCAACAATTTATTGCCTAATGTTTATATGAGTGTATACACGCCTGTGTTTGTCTGGCTGTCAGCAATAGCCAGATGTAAGGTGCAGAGGATTAAACAAATGAAACATAGGGTGATAGTGCTCTCACCTCGTTAATGTTCTTCCAGAACTTGCTGTACTGATTGCCAATGTAAAACTGTGTATTGGGATCGTTGATACCAAAATACCCTTGGCTCCAGTTTACATATCTAGCCAGAAGACAAGTAAAAATTTAACTTAAATGGAAGAAATCATCAAATTGCAAAAATGTGAGGTCAATCACGATGACTTTAATGACAATGTCACATCCCATGAATGGCATATTATGATAGGAAAATGAAATTTCTGGCCTGGCAACATACTACATCAACAATCCGAGCTGCAGCAGTTTTGATCCCCAAATTAGCAGCAAATCTACTAACCAGTTTGTAACCTTTGTTTGGCAATCACTTACAATGTCACAACCTTTGACATCTTAAGTACAGCATGTATGTTGTCAAAATTTTGCCTGTCTTGATTTGCTGTGATGTCTTTTTTCACCGATGTAAATTGTTAATAAGTAATAACATGGTTTCCATGCAATTTGTAGTACATAATTAAGCAATTGTACATTTTTTCAAAGACAACAAACTACACTTGCCTGTCATCTTTAAAAAAATGTACTCATGCTTATCGATACCAAATTGCACTCAACATCATGTTATTACCTATACTAATACAACATACTTGTGTGGAAAATGCCAAGCCAAGAGAAATGTGAAGGTCTGAAATAGAAATAGGTTATGATTAATCAAATCATTACTGGGTTTGAATTCAACCCACTTTGATCTTCTACTCATGAATAATAGTAATAATGATAATAATGGTAATGGTAATCATTGGGATTTAACAATTTATAGTACATTAATGAATAAGCTCTTTGTCCAGTGTTTCCAAGTCCAATTGGAATTTGAAATTCAGCACATTGGCCCTTCATCACAGTCATAAACAAGTTGCTCCTAAAATGAAATTACCACTAATCTGTTCCTCACATTCTCTGTTGCCTATTCAGTATTTAAGAGAAATTAAAATTTACCTCTGAACTGTTAGGTGGGACTTCTCTCTCACAACAAACAGCTCCATTCCAAGTTTTACCCACCTGTAAAGAGACAATCATGGTAAACCTGCTCCTGATCTTTTAATTCTGATGATACAAACAACTTAAAAAGGTTTTGCACATAAAAAACCATACGAGACATCTCCATCTTTGTGAAAATGCATAAATGAAAGGGGGTGCAGAATAATTAAATCTTAATGTGACTTTCAATACAACATCTTCTTCTCTGCCTGTTCTACAAGGGAATATTTGAAAAATCTGGAAGCAGAATCTGAGAGTCTGTCAGAAAGTCCCTTAAGATTACTTTTTTCATGCACCTCTTCTAATAGTATATAATTAAATCCATCTAAATCAAGAGAAAAAATTACACTGTATATACAATTAAGATTACAGTAGGTTACAGGACAAGACCCATAGTGAGGGAGGGGGAGGGGGGGCAGGTGTTAGTAACAAGGGGCATAGACTTGAATTCTGACTAAGAGAAGCCACTATACTCCATTCCACTTGGTGCTTTGAAATAAAAGCTCTGGCTGGACAGCTCATTGGGCTCAAAAGCTCAGTGCACCTTTACTTTACGTGTGAATTAACCTGACCATTACATAGTAAATAACTTACTGGAGAGGGACCACACTTTCCTTGCCCGGGTAGTCCCGATAATGTAAAATATTGCCACATCTCTTTCACATCATCATATTGAAGCATTGTAGACAAATTATCACCTGGCTTTTTCACCACTGCAAAAATAATAATTTGAAAATTAAATTATGAAATAGACAATGAATTGACAAGCGGTTGTGATAACATCACAATATCTGAACCAAATGAGAACTTCTGAAATCAAAGGACTGATTGTACAGCAATAGGCTGCCACAGAACCTCTGTTTACAGTACCTGAGATGGACACATGTCCATTTGGTGCACTTCGCTCTTCCAAGGATGGGTTACTCATGTCAATACCAAACAGACAGCTAGATGAATTTCCACAAAAAGAAAATTAAAAACTAACAAAAAACATTCATTTTATCAAATGATTCATTAATATGAAAATAAATTTGGTACACATCTTGTTACTAGAGGTATCGGAGATTGACAGAAAAACTGCCAAGGCCATTATTGAAAGAAAAATTATGTCTGAGCATTCCTCTTAACCATCTGAAAGCACAAATTAAACACCATTCTCAATGATACCTGGTCTGCAAAAGACTGTTAATATTTCCACCATATCCAACACAGGCAACTGCAACACAAAACAAATGCATCTAAAATCTTCATTCATGAAGTGCAAAAAACAATATCTTTGTAAAAATATCATCTTTATGAACTTTTATTAATCTGTAATAAAATTAATTTTACATGTCACAACTGCACTAAGTGCACCAATTCCATCAACTACACAAACTGCAAACCAATTTGGCCAACTGCATTGTGTGCAGCAACTGCACTTGAATCATTAAAAAAAGTCACACAATCTGTCAGATTACATCTAGAAGAAATCCTTCATTGACAGTTCTTAACCCTTTGACTCCCAAGATCACATTTATAATTCTCCTTATTGTCTGCCATATAGTTCTAGTGATGTTGGTTAGGAGAATTTGTTATTGGATCTATTTACAATCCCCTAAGTGATATTCTCATCATTTGTCTGCTTGGTATTGTAATGATATTGTTAGGAGAAATTCTTTCCTGATCACTTATGGTAGTTAAAGGGTTACTGTAAAAACTATCTTTTTATCTGTTATCTGTCGAAAGATTAGCCTTATAATTTCTCTACAGGAAGATAAAGGGTTACCATTGATTTACAGATAAAGAGAAAATCAAAGACAGAACTATGAGTCACAGGATGCTCAGAGAGCATTTTTCCAACCTCTCAAGATTGCTCACTTGCACACATGTACACTCAGAAAGCATTACAGGAGCAAAGTAAACAATCCAACAAATTCACACCTTCTGAAGTAATTGGAGCCAGTCCATTCCAGCCAGCAATGTTTTGGAGTGATCCCAGTAATGAAACCTACATGTAAAATACATTAAATACTAGAGAAAGATGTTTTTCATCTTGCCACAAGTGTGGGACAAAGAAAAAATTCTGAATCCCCATGAGGAGTCGAACCTCAGACCTTTGGATTCCACACTCTGATGTTCTCAATTTCTTCACAGAGCTTAAAACTTACCATCTCTCTTAGTCTATTTACATTAAAAACTGTTATCAGTACAAATGTGCATCATCACTAAAAGGTCCAATGAACTCTGAGAAGCTATCCTCTCTTTACACTGAGTGTAATGTATTGCAAGTCCTTTCCCAGTTGAGCAGCCTAAGTATAAGATATCCCCATCAAAATTTCAGTGATTCTCTGACAAAATTTCAAGTTCAGGGTCACAGCCTTCATATGAGATGTCTTTGGTCAAATTAACAGTGATTCACTGTGTAAACACAAGTTTCTGCCAAGATGTTTGGCCAAACTATGAGATGTAATTGAAGGATTTGAATACTACAACTCCAAACACAAACAATACCAGACACAGCCTAGTTTTGAAATCTCCCTGGTTGCACTAACACAAGTTTGTACCCAGACGTACTGCCTGAATTCAAGATATCCTGGGTATAAACTAACACAAATCCATACCCAAGTATGTAGTCAAAGTTAGTAAGAGATAATGGCTTTCTCAGGTGTATGTTACTAAGCAGTATAACCTCCTCATGACCACTCAAATTCCAAGGTGTGTGATGACAGATCTAACTCCAGACTTATGAGGAAGTTTTATCATTACAAAAGTAATTCACCTTTGCAGCGTCTTTTGATGAATTTGTCACAGTGTAGTTTAAGACAACCACTGGTATTCCACTGTTCTTAGAGTCCAGAGGGACACAAGGGTTGAATGCCTCTAAGTGCACTTGGACAGGCACCTCATCACTCAAAACATCAACTAGAAAAGGCAAAGAAATCATGTGAATATTTTGTAGTATGATCCACAGATAAGGTGAAAGATGTTCCCCATCATATGGGAGCGGTGGGTGGTTTGGGAGAATTGGAACAAGGAAGTCCAAATGGAGGCTGTGACATACATATATTATAGAGGACTCAGCCTTTCAGCTACAGTCATTGACCCACCCTTCCCCCATAAAAACCATCTCAGATATTTTGCCCTCCCCTCCCTCAAAAATTGAAGTGTTTTGACCCTTCACATGTATTTCACATCAGTTTGTAAAGTGACACTAAATCTGGAGCACATCTCTGAATACTTATCAGAAAAGCTACAGAAATACTGTAAAAGTCATATGGCTGTATTTTGCTTTCTAAAAGAAATTTAGCTTACAAGTTTATGTGTCAGGGTACAAAGGTTCCCTGCCTTAAAATTTCAGTTATCAGTACTGATTGTTTAATAAATCATTATTGGATGACAAACCTTCTGCAATGGGGTATTTTGCTGTTACTTCCAAAGTTTTAACTCCAGGTAGTTCACTGAGAAGCTCTTTAGATCCATCTGGTACAACTACAAAATAAAGTAGAGTTCAGATCAGTTAATCTCATTAAATTTGAAATACATGTAGAAGGAATGATATAATATTTGTATACTGTTCAAAAGGACTGCAGATTTCTAATATTTGTATCTGAAAGATCTTCCAATTACCATGGTCTGTGACATATGCTGCAGGAGTGAATCCTTCCTCATCGTACCAAGTACTTGACTGAAGAATAACAGCATTACTGGTGCTTCCTTGCTCCACTCTAGGAAAAATAAAAAATACATCAATTATGAAATGGCTTAAATTTTGTTGATTTAAAAATTTTTCAAACCATCAATCTCAAACAAAAGAAACATTCAAATAGGTTGTAAATATTTTACTGTGAAAATGTGAAAACCATTAACACTAAAAATATTTTTGTAAAATGACTGGCGATGACAGGATTGCATGAAAAATTAATTCTTTATAAAGTAACCTAATATATTACTTGTCTTGCAATATTTCTTTATTATTTAAGTAAGTTGGCTTAATGGACATTTAAATTTATTTCTGTGTTTTTTGCCTCCAATCAAAAATTCTTGGATCTGCCTCTTTGATTGGTTTCTTCTATGATTTTCTGAGTTCAACAACAAATTTGGGAAACACTTGAACCAAAACAAATCATTTACAAACCGAATGGCGAAGAATGAATCTGGTACATGAGCTAAATGATTGACTGTGTTGGTAATCTGCCACTGGCGTAGACCCCCATCACCAGCTAAAGCTATAGAGCCACCCCCTGAAAAATCAAATAAAATGTCAAAAATAAGTTATCATAAATTATCAAATAAAATAAAAATATCAAAGATATGATTAAAATAAATTATCATAAATTAATAACAAAAAATTGAAAATACAATTTTCTAATCATCATATTTGTCAAAAACATTCTAAAATAAATCACTTTATGTCTAATAATGCAAATCAAATTTGCAAGTCCAGAAAAGGTTGGTAAGATATTACTTTTAAGTGGTTTAACTTATAATACAAGTAGACATTTTGCTCACTGCTCAAATTTTTCTTTGTCCCTTCTGGCTTGGACAAATACCACACAATACATAAAATATCCACACATATTATGTGTTAAACCATCACAAAAGGTGTACTTAATACAAAGTGTTTATAACTAAAAACATTTTTCATATAATATTTCTGTTTTTCACATACCAATTGGTCCAAGTGGCAAAGCAACAGCTCTCAGGGCATCACCACTGTACTTGTACTCGTGCAAACCTGGGTTGACCCTGACAACACAAAATGACACTTAACAATGCCATTTAATATGTCCTTACAAATTATCACCCTTGAATCAAACTTTAAGGTCATGATAATAACAGAAATGATCACCAACTAAAAGAAACTCTTGATTGTTAAACAAATTCTCCTTGTCAGCACCTCAGGAAATGTACAGAGAACAGTAATACGAATATGCACACTGATGTTAGGGTGTAGAGGTTTAACTATTAACCCCTTTTAATTCAGTCTTTGCATTGTGAGAAAGTTTTTTTAAATTGATGTGGTTAAGGTATGTCTCTTGCATTTGGCTTTTCCAAACACATTGTGCAGTTCACAATAAGGGGTGAATGGAGAGAGGCAGAGAAAGGAAAGGCAGAAGATACATGATACATGTAGAATGAGAAATAATGGGTGTACATGTTAAATTTATGGAAAGCAGAGTAATAATACATGTTGTGATGAGGAGGAAAATGATAAAAACTTGAAATCCTGCTTTTCTTGCAATTTCACAATAATCGACATCATTACTAAAAGTAACTTGTAGACCTTATGTCTGAGAATTTGGTATTGGATCAACTAATAACAACCTAATATATACTTTTCTTGGTTCTCATCACTTGTCTTCTTGATTTTGTATCAATATTGTTAAGAGAAATTCTGTCTTGGTCACTCATGGGAGTTAAAGGGTTAAAAGGTATAAAGTTCACTTTTGCAAGCAAATAGCCCAGAAAAAAGTTCTACAAGGTCTGATTTTGGCTTAAAAAAAGTGACCATCAAATCCAGCACTTGGGTGGGGTATTTCAACACAATTTTGCCCTCTAGGGCAGAGTATTAAACAAACCAATCTTCAAATACTCAAATGCCTAGGTGAGGAGGGGGGGAAATGTTGAATCTTCATATTTATTGACACTTTACTGTTTGGGTTTTCATGGTATGTACTTGCTTCATTATGAACAGTATTAAACCAGAACATTTGAACATTCCTTTGCATTTTCCACAAACATTGTTGGCTTACTTTTTCTCTAGTGGACCACTGCTTACATCTGGGTCAGGAGGGAGAGGCCTCAAAAATTCACAGCAGGACAGTGTAGATTGTACTCCAGTACAACAACTTGTCGGCTTCTATAAAAAAATCACATAAATTCATTTATCCAGTAGGAGCATTTTATCTCAATAGTTTCCAGTCTTAGGTGTGATCTGACAAAAACTTCAACTCCCAGAAGTGATTAACATGTAACTTCTCCCTATAATATCCATACATCATCCTCAAAACAGGCATTGAGATTACTCAAACTTATCAGGTAGAGGTTGTTCTCTTAATCTAACACCAAATTCTTGTAACTAATTTAAAAGAAATGTGTAGCAGCTTGAGGAGAAAATTAACAATCAGACTTTGGGATTTAAGGGCTTTAATTGACAGCCCTGTACTCAGATCAGCTGCCGCATCTGTTCACTTATTTCCCTTTGCATTCTGCCTTCCACCTGACTGTATAAAGGATGATTGCCAACATACTTGTGCCTTCACTTCTTTACAACAGCTTGAAGTTTCAGCCTTTCCCAAAAGAAGAATATTGATTGAGATTGTAGATCCATGTCCATCTTTATTTTCCTGTTTGTTTTCCAACACTTCCTTCCATTCTTGTTCCGTGTTTCCCTATATTATAAATATATTAATGACATGGAATGTACAAACAAATCTGTCACCTGATCAAGTCTCTAAAACGCTGTATGCAATTTGCTTTCTAAATAACAAAAGCAGCAAGCCACTTCCCAGTTATAAAAGCCTTCACTTTCAAAACAAGGCCAAGTGAAGAATCTACAGTATCTTAATGTTACCAAAATTCAATTTTCTTCATGAGTGCTTCTTACATAGTCATGCTTTACAGCAGAGGCCAATGGATTTCTTATGAATGGCTTGTAAGTAATTCAGCTACCATGCTTAGCCCAGCTGTTATGAAATAGGGATGTATTCAAATGAAAATGTTTTTATTTAATCTTGATCAATACTCAAATTCAACATCTATCAGTATCAGAACAAAGTAATCCGCCGAGTCAAGTCTATGGTCCACACCCACTTAACTAATCCCAGTTTTCATAACATGAAGCCCGTTAGAGTATTGCCCACTTTGTGCATGCAGATTACTGTACTACTGGGTGGAGAGAAGCAGTGTGTGCCAAAAGTGTCTTTCCTGAGCACAAAACCCAATAACCAGGGTAGGACTTGGAGGATAACCCCTAAATATTAGGTCCAGCAGGCTAACTTACTGGCAACCCTTTACACCTTAACATCAGTATGCATATTCTCCATACTGTTCTCTATGCATTTCTTCAGGTGCTGCCAAGGAGAATTTGTTTAACAAACAAGAGCTTCTTTATGTGGTGATCATTTCCTCAATTCTCGTGACCTTAATGTGTGATTCGGGGATGATACTTTTAGGCTGGTTAACTTTGCTTTGAACAACAGGGCCCAGAATTAGGCAGTAATTAACTCTTAAAACCTTAACAATGACCAGCTGCTGATTTCTGCTTTCAGTAACACTGCTGGATCATTCATTAAGTTCATGAGAATAAAGGAAGTGATCACCAAGCTAAGAAGCTTTGATTGTTACACAAATTCTCCTTGTCAGTACCTAAGGAAATGTCAAGGGAAAAGTATAGAGAACATGCATACTGATGTTAAGTTGTAAAGGGTTAATCATCACTTGAAAAATGAACACTTACAAATATGAGATCACCCTCATCATCAAAATAACTAAATGCGAGTGAGTAAGTGATTGACAGCTTGTCCTTCACCCATTGTGCAACTTCTTTCCATCTGAAATTGGAAATTCAAAATGAGTTGTTTGCTATATGTGTGAATTTTTCTAAAAATTTGTGTGTCAAACTGGATCAGGACCCCTCTTTTGCTATCTTCAAGAACATATACTAAATTCATAGGAAGAATTCACATAAAATTACTTATAATGCATCATAGTATGTTTGCATTAATTAGTCATGGTAGCTTGCAATTGTCTCACAATGTATTCAGTTCCAGTTAGGACTGTGCTATTTCCATGGCCAACTGCTCCTCTTTGTTACACAATAAGGTGAACTGGTTGCACACCATCTTAACAAGCATTATGCTCCATTATGATTAGTTGGTTTTTAATTCTTTAACTCTAATGTGTGACCAAGACAGAACTTCTCTTTACAATATCAATACATATTAAGAAGACTTGTGATGAGAATGTAGAAAAACATCAATTCAGGAATTATTAGTAGGTCCAGAAACAAATTCTCAATACTGACATCATGAGAATTGCAGGAGAGACAGTAAGGAGAATTACTGATGAGACCTTGAAGTAATGATGCATCAAAGTATGTTTACCATGATCAGTCATCATGTCTGTCCCATAATTTATTCACTTCCGATGGAGATTGTGCTATTTCCAGGGCAAACTACTCCTCTCGTGAACTGGTTACAAACTACCTTAACAAGCATTATGCTCCGATATGATTGGTTGATTTTCAACAGCAGTGACTTAACAGCAATGACTAAAACCAACCAATCCCAACAACAAGATTTCTTATTCATGTGCGCGTAAATTCATATCAAGATAGACAGCAAAACAAACTCCTTATGCAGTGAATTAGTACACGTAATAAAAACGATTGGACTGCACAGGAATAATTGTTCTTGCAATTGAGGCTTGGTAATACAATTTTTGATTAGCAAATGACGTTATTAAGAAAACGATTACGTTGCAAACTTTAATTTATAGCGAATGGCATGAAAGAAAGAGATCGAGGTAAACTAGAATCCATTCCATCAACACTAATTGCCCTCCTGGGAAAAACACTTCGAAATGTTCTCTGACCCAACTAGTTCACAGATCGGTTCCTAAAGCTAACATCAAAATAAACCACTACAACAAAAGTGGAAGTTGAACTACTGGATATTGATCTTTAATCAAATTGATAAAAGTTGTTCGAACATCTTTCGCTATCGCTGAAAGTTGTTCTAACTCAACTGTTTTGTGACATACCTGACTGTGTCTGTTGTCTGATAGAGATATGGCTTTTTATCGGTTAATTCACACCCATTTTCATCGACAACATTTAGTTTAAGGTCAAGTTTTCCTTCCATGGCCGTTTCGAATTATGTCCAGACAGATGCCAATGTTGTTTCTGAAGGCAATCTGCTGACTATCACATGACTCAGCTTCTTCGAACCCAGGAGCACTCATACGACTGCTGTGTTCATCGTGATATAAAAGAGGTCACGCATTTTTCACTCGAAAATTTGAGCGTAGTTCCTGAAAATGTAGCATTATACCCAAAGTCTGTGCGTGATTTTGTATTATGCTTTATTTTGTAACTCAAATTCAAGAGCGTTAAGAGCCCCACGCCCCCCTCCCTCCCACCTCCTCCACCTCCTGCTCTGCCACCGACAAGTTAAATAACATTTTAAAACAGTAATCTCATTGGTGCAAATGCACTTGAGGTTGTAACCAGGCCTTTAATGAAGTAAGGGCGTAAGTTTCTAAAGAAACTGCGGTGCTGCGTCTCGGTGGGAGAGTATAACAGGTAATTTAGTGTTAGCAACTGAGCTGAAAACGTAAATTGGCCACAGTAAAGAGTTTAAAGGCTGATGTTTCAAGCGTTAGCCCTTCCTCCGAGCGGAGGAAATGTCAGTCTTTAAACTCTTTAGGTTGCCAATTTACGTTCTCAACTCAGTTGTTAACATTACATTACCTATAATGAAGTAGCTTAGCATAAAAAATTACAGAAAAGTACTAGAAACGACATTTGAGACGGATATCCCGAAAACATCATAATAAAATTACTAGAAACGCAGGTTTAAATGTTTATGCACTAGAACTTTAGACATACCGGTCACAGCGGATTTGGACCCCCCGGTGAACCCCCCCATTTCGTATCAACATTGATACGAAACGTCATAACAATTGTGGAGACTGTTGCATCCAGTAACAAAAATAACTCAGTCTGATTTTCTAATTAAATAACATCAAACAGTTTCTGAACAAGAGTGAAGTAACAACTCCTCCTACAAGTCGTTCGTAAAGCCTATGATAAGTAAAAATGTTTCCATTCTGAACTATTGGAACTCTCAGCTTATTTTCAAATGCAAATCAACATTAATGTCTTTGTCTTAACAACAGTAGAGACTATTACATCGAACTCAATCTTATTTTCTAATTTTAACGATTGTTGACAGTTGAGGGATCCGAAATAACACCTTAACAATTGCGAAGACTTCTAGAGTCTGGCGGTTTTAGATTCTTAGATTGCTCGCAGCTCATCAACCATTCCTCGCATAACTCGCACTGTACCATGTCGTTCCAACACTCGGGCATTGAACAGTAACAAATAAATTAGTGCCACAAGCTTGTCTCTTATTGAATCTAGCGGTGTTCGTCTATCGTGGAAAAGGTTAAAAAACGACCTCTCTCCAAACATTAAACTTAATAATGCTTGTGCATTTTCCCTTGGTCAAAAGAAACATCCGACGGGTCATTTCTAGCTGCCAGTTCGTATGCATTGGCGATACGCATATTTTAAATTAAAAAAAAATACTTTGGTACGCACTGGAACGTAAAGTATTATCTTTTTATACTAAAACGTTAAAGATGATGTTTTCACTCAATTTTGTTGTGGGGTCCAAATCCGCGGAGGGAGGTCCAAATCCGCCCGGACATCACCGGCATTATGCGTATCTAAGTACTTTAGTATTATCAACTGAGCGTTCTGACAAGGAACGTCGCTTGACTGAATTTTTTACCATTACGAGTTGCTTCGAATCGAGTTGAATAATAAGTGAACTTTATTTATTTCAAAGGCTGACATGATCTATTCATTGTATCTGCTACAAAACTTCACTTTACTTCACGTTATTCCGATGCCTTTTTGGTATTTAGCGAGCTAGAGTAAGAAAGGACATATAAGTTTTCTTTATTAGTTTAAGTGAGCGGTTAATCTAATATCTCATCATTTGATTACCCACAGTTTCTTCAGAAACTTACCCCCCCCCCCCCGCTTACCTCATTAAAGGCCTGGTTACCTGTCGGTGGCAGGGCAGAGAGGTGGGGGAGGGGGTGTGGGGCTCTTAAACGCTCTTGAATTGAGTTACAAAATAAAGCATAATACAAAATCGTGAACAAAACTTCCGGTATAATGCCATATTTTCAGGAATTACGCTTAAATTTTCGAGTAAAATATGCGTGATCCTTTTGATATCTCGATGAACACAGCATTCGTATGTTATGAAAAGTCACGACATCAAATATCGAGTGCTCTTGGGTTTGAAGAAGCTGAGTCATGTGATTGTCAGCAGATTACCCGCAGACACAACACTAGGATCTGTTATGTCATAACTCGGAACTGCCATGGAAGGAAAATTAAACCTAAAACTAAATGTTGTCGATGAAAATGGGTGTGAATTAACCGATGGAAGGTCACTTCTCTATCAGACAACGTACACAGTCAGGTATGTCGAAAAGCAACTTTCAGAAATTTGAAATTTAATTTCAGATCCATATCCAGTAGTTCAACTTCCGCTTTTTTTGCATTGGTTCATTTTGATATTAGCTTTAAGAATCGATCCGTAAACTAGTTGGTTCAGAGAACGTTTCGAAGTATTTTTTCCAGGAGGACAATTGTGTTGATGGAATGGATTCTAGTTTACCTCGATCGCTTTCTTTCAAGCCATTCGCCATAAACTAGTTTGCAACTTAATCGTTTACTTATAATAACGTCATTTGCTTATTAAAATTGTATTAACAAGCCTCAATTGCTAGAATCATTATTCCTGCGTTAACTTCAGTTGTATTTATTCATGTATTAATTCACTGCATTAGGAGTTTGTTTTGCTGTTTATCTTAATGTGAATTTACTTGCACATGAAAAAGAAATCTTGTTGTAGGGATTGGTGGGTTAAGTCACTGCTGTTGAGAATCAACCAATCATATTGGAGCATAATGCTTCTTAACGTGATATGTAACCAGTTCACAAGAGGAGCAGTTTGCCATGAAAATAGTGCAATCTCCATTGCAAGAGAATAAATGATGACTGATCTTAGTGAACATACTGTGATGCTTCATTGCTTCAAGATCTCATTAGTAATTCTCCTTACTGTCTCTCATACAATTCTTATGATGTCAATACTGAGAATTTGTTACTGGACCAACTAATAATTCCTGAATTGATGTTTTTCTTCATTCTCATCACTAGATCACTAGTCTTCTTAATGTGTACTGATATTGTAAAGAGAAATTCTGTCTTGGTCACTCATTGGAGTTAAAGGATTAAAAAATTGAAGTGGAGCACGATTCTTCTTAAGATGATGTGCGACCAGTTCTTCTCATCATGTAATTAAGAGGAGCAGTTTGTCATGGAAATAGCACAGTCCCCATTAGAATTGAATGCATTACAAGACGAACTACCATGACTGATTGCTGGAAACATAATGTGATGCATTATCTGTACTTTAATGTGAATTTTTCCTAGGAATCTGGTACATGTTCATAAGGGTAGCAAAAGAGGGGTCCTGATCCAGTTCCACACAAATTTTTTTTAGAAAAATTCCCATGTCAACCAAACAACTCATTTTGAATTTCTAATTTCAGATGGAAAGAAGTTGTGCAGTGGGTGAAGGACAAGCTGTCAATCACTTACTCACTAGCATTTAGTTATTTTGATGATGAGGGTGATCTCATATTTGTAAGTGTTCATTTTTTACATGATGATATATGAGCCCTTTACAACTTAACATCAGTATCCATGTTCTCTATACTTTTCCCTTGACATTTCCTTAGGTACTGACAAGGAGAATTTGTGTAACAATCAAAGCTTCTTAACTTGGTGATCACTTCATCTATTCTCATGAACTCAATGAATGATTCAGCAGTGTTAATGAAAGCAGAAATCAGCGGCTGGTCATTGTTAAGGTTTTTAAGAGTTAGTTACTCTTTGATTCTGGGTCCTGTTGTTCAAAACAAAGTTAACCCTTTAACCTCTACCATCTAATTTCTCCATACAATATCACCCCTGAGTCACACATTAAGGTCATCAGAATTAAGGAAATGATCACCACATATAAAGAAGCTCTTGATTGCTGAACAAATTCTCCTTGTCAGCACCTTAGAACATGTATAGAGAACAGTATGGAGAATATGCATACTGATTATTGGGTTTTGTGTTTTGGAAAGATACTTTGGCACACACTGCTTCTCACCACCCAGTAGTATATAGTAAGACAAAGGAAGAACTGATAAATTGCTACAGCTGTACAATAATCTGTATGCAAAAAGCAATCCATTGAGTATGTGATCTAAAGCAATTAACTCCAAGAGGCTTCATGTTATGAAAACTGGAACTAGTTACAAGGGTGTGGACCACAGGCTTGATTGGGCAGACTATTTTGTCCTGATAGTGATAGATGGTGAATTTGAGTATTGAGCAAGATTAAATAAAAACACTTTCATTTGAATACATCCCTATTTCATAACAGCTGGGCTATAAGCATGGTAGCTGAATTACTTACAAGCCATTCATAAGAAATCCATGGCCTCTGCTGTAAAGCATGACTATGTAAGAAGCACTCATGAAGAAAATTGAATTTTGGTAACATTAAGATACTGTAGATTCTTCACTTGGCCTTGTTTTTGTGGCTTGCTGCTTTTGTTATTTAGAAAGCAAATTGCATAAAGCGTTTTAGAGACTTGAACAGGTAACAGAATTGTCCAAACATTCCATGTCATTAATATATTTATAATATAGGGAAACACGGAACAAGAATGGAAGGAAGTGTTGGAAAACAAACATGAAAATAAAGATGGATGTGGATCTACAATCTCTGTCAATATTCTTCTTTTGGGAAAGGCTGAAACTTCAAGTTGTTGTAAAGAAGTGAAGGCACAAGTATGTTGGCAATCATCCTTTATACAGTCAGGTGGAAGGTAGAATGCTAAGGGAAATAAGTGCACAGATGCAGCAGCTGATCTGAGTACAAGGCTGTCAGAAAGCCTTTTTATCCCAAAGTCTAATGCTTATTCTCTCCTCAAGCTGCTGCTCACATTTCTTTTAAATTAGTTACAAGAATTTGGTGTTAGTTCAAGAGAACAACCTCTACATGATAAGTTTTTTGTCAGATCTTGCCTAAGACTGGGAACTATTCCGATATAATGCTCTTACTGGATACATGAATTGATGTGATTTGTTGTAGAAGCCGACAAGTCGTTGTACTGGAGTACAATCAAAACTGTCCTGCTGTGAATTTTTGAGGCCACTCCCTCCCAACCCAGATGTAGTCAGTGACCCACCAGAGAAAAAGTAAGCCCAAGAATGTTTGTAGGATATGCAAAGGAATGTTGAAATGTTTTGGTTCAATACTGGTCAGAATGAAGCAAGTACATACCATGAAAACCAGAATAGTAATGCATCAATCAGTTTGAAGTTGGTGATCATTTCTGTTACTCTTATGAGCTTAAAGTATGATTCAGGGGTGATACTGTAAGGAGAAATCAGATGCTGGTGTTAAGTGTCATTTTGTGTTGTCAGGGTCAACCCACGTTTGCACGAGTACAAGTACAGTGGTGATGCCCTGAGAGCTGTTGCTTTGCCACTTGGACCAATAGGTATGTGAAAAACAGAAATAATATATAAAAAAATTTTTTATTTATAAACACTTTGTATTAAGTATGCCATTTTCAGTAGTTTAATTAACACATAATATGACTTGTGTGGATGTTTTGCGCATTGTGTGGTTTTTTTCTGAGCCTGTCAGGGCAAAGAATGTATCATAAGTTAAAGCATTATAATTAGGGATTTATTGATACCACTGTTGTTCCAAGACTATAATTATAATTCCACTAAAAGTAAAGCCAATAAAATAAAAAACAAAATCAAAGTTTAGATCATTCATTGCAGGCCATTTTGTTGCTCTGTATTTTTGCCCTACTCTACAATGCATTCTTATGATCATATTTGGTAAAATTACATGGCAGTGGAAAAAATAAAAAGTTAATATGATTATTTATGCTTGAATCAAAAAGCACAACCTTGAAAAAAAAGAGACCATATCTGAGATGTGCAAAACCACTCTTTTAAAGCACAAAAGGGGTGGTGTGAGGCTCCATTTTCACAGCAAAGGTTTTACACTTAGCCTCTTTTTCCAAGTGATGGTTTATAGACATTGGACCAAAACAGTCCTGATTGGCTAGTTTCCCCTTCAGACTGATCTTGTGGAAGTACCTTGACCTTACATTTTATTTACAATGGGCCTTATGCCCTCTGCTTTCAGAGAAAAGATTAGACCTCTGGCATTAATTCACTTATAAATTAAAGTAATTTCTTACCAATCTTTCTTGGACTTGCAATATTTGATTTGCATTATTTGACATATGGTGATCTATTTTAGAATGTTTGTGACATGATGATTGATAAATTTTATTTTCAATTTTTTTAGTTAGTAATTTATGATAATTTATCTTAAATATTTATTTGATCATTTTTTAAATTTGACAATTTATGATAATTTATTTTTGACACTTTATTTGATTTTTCAGGTGGCGGCTCTATAGCATTAGCTGGTGATGGGGGTCTACGCCAGTGGCAGATTACCAACACAGTCAATCATTTAGCTCATGTACCAGATTCATTCTTTGCCATTCGGTTTGTAAATGATTTGTTTTGGTTGAAGTCTTTCCCAAGTTTGTTGAGTTGAACCAAGAAAACCAGAGTAAAACCAATCATAGGGGCAGATCCAGGAATTAATTTGATAGGAGGCAAAAAACATAGAAATGTATTTTTTCCCTTAAGCCAAATTACATGTAAGGAAAGAAATATTGCAAGACAAGTATAGTAGATATAGGTTACTTTATAAAGAATTAATTTTACATGCAGTCCTGTCATTACTGACAATAATTTTGGTGTCTGGAAAGTGGTAAAAAACCTACAGATTTGATTCCACACACCCTTTCTGTGGATTTGCTACTGAAACCTCTAAGAGATCAGAAAATATAAGCAAACTACAACCCCACATGAAATTAGCCTTCCTGACTACACAAGTCACTTTTTATACATATTAAATATTTTTAGTGTTAATGTCTTTCACATTTTCACAGTAAAATATTTACTACTCATTTTAATGTTTCTTTTGTTTGAGATTGATGGTTTGAAAAATGTTAAATCAACAAAATTTGAGCCATTTCATAATTGATATACTTTTTATTTTTCCTAGAGTGGAGCAAGGAAGCACCAGTGATGCAGTTATTCTTCAGTCAAGTACGTGGTACGATGAGGAAGGATTCACTCCTGCAGCATATGTCACAGACCATGGTAATTGGTAGATCTTTCAGATAAGATTATTAGAAATCTGCAGCCCTTTTGAACAATGTAAAAATACATATCACTCCTTCTATTTCAAATCTATAAATGAGATTAACTGATCTGAACTCAACTTTATTTTGTAGTTGTACCAGATGGATCTAAAGAGCTTCTCAGTGAACTACCTGGAGTTAAAACTTTGGAAGTCACGGCAAAATACCCCATTGCAGAAGGTTTGTCACCCAATAATAATTTATTAAACAATCAGTACTGGTAACTGAAATTTCAAGGCAAGGAACCTTTTTGCCCTAACTCATAAACTTGGTAGCTTTCTTTCAGAAAGCAAAATATAGCCATATAACTGTATTTTTGTAGCTTCTCTGGTAAGTATTCAGAGATGTGCTCCAGATTTAGTGTTTCAAACTGATGCAAAATACATGTGAAGGGTCAAAACACTTTGATTTTTGAGCAGGGAGGGCAAAATATCTAAGTTGGTTTTTATGGGGGAGGGGTGAGTCAATGATTGTTGCTGAAAGGTTGAGTCATTTACAGTATAGACTTACATGTATGTCACAGCCTCCATTTGGACTTCCTTGTTCCAATTCTCCCAAACCACCCAGCACTCCTATATGATGGGGGATATCTTTTACCTTGTCTGTGGATCATACTACAAAATATTCACATGATTTCTTTGCCTTTTCCAGTTGACGTTTTAAGTGATGAGGTGCCTGTCCAAGTGCACTTAGAGGCATTCAATCCTTGCATCCCTCTGGACTCCAAGAACAGTGGAATACCAGTGGTTGTCTTAAACTACACTGTGACAAATTCATCAAAAGATGCTGCAAAGGTGAATTACTTTGTGATGACAAAACTTTCCCATCATATCTTATGCTTAGGCTGCTCAACTGAGAAAGGACTTACAGTACATTACACTTACTGGCTCTAGAGAGGGTATTAAGTGAGGAGAGCTTCCCAGAGTTCAATGGACCTTTTAGTGGTGATGCACATGTGTATTGATAACAGTTTTTAATGTAAATAGACTAAGAAAGATGGAAAGTTTTGAGTTTTGTGAAGAAATAGAGAACATGGGAGTGTAATCCAAAGGTCTGAGGTGCGATTACTTATGGGGATTCAGAATTTTTTTCTTTGTCCCAGGCTTATGGCAATTAAGACAAAAAACATGTTTCTCTAGTATTTAATGTGTTTTACATGTAGGTTTCATTACTGGGATCACTCCAAAACATTGCTGGCTGGAATGGACAGACTCCAATTGCTTCAGAAGGTGTGAATTTATTGGATTTTTTTTACTTTGCTCCTGTAATCCTTTCTGAGTGTACAATGTATTCCAGTGAGCAACCTTGAGAGGTTGGAAAAATGCTCTCTGAGCATCCTGTGACTCATATATAGTTCTGTCTTTGATTTTCTCTATATCTGTAAATCAATGGTAACCCTTTATCTTAAGAGAAACTATCAGGCCAATGTTACTATATAAATAACAGATAAAGAGATAGTTTTTACTTTCAAATTAGCATTTTATCAAAAGCTGTGAATGAAAGATTTCTTCTATATATTCTGACAGATTGTGCAAATTAATTTGTTAATGATTCAAGTGTAATTTCACACAATGTATAGTTGGCAAAATTGGTTTGTAGTTTTTGTAGTTAATGGAATTGGTGCACTTTAAAAGTGCAGTTGTGGTGGATCTTGTGACATGTAAAATTAATTTACAGATTATAAAAGTTCATAAAAGTGATATTTTAAAATAAATATTGTTTTTTATACCACATGAATTAAGATGTTTGATACATTTGTTTTGTATTGTAGTTGCCTGTGATGGATATGGTGGAAATATTAACAGTCTTTTGGAGACCAGGTATCATCGAGTTTAGTTTGTGTTTTCAGACAGTTAAGAGGAATGCTGACATAATTTTTCTTTCAATAATGACCTGGCTTGATAGTTTTCTCTGTAAATCTCCGATACCTCTAGTAACAGGATGTGTACCAAATTCATTTTTATATTAATGAATCATTTGATAAAATTAATGTTTTTTGTTAGTTTTTAATTTCTTTTTGTGGAAATTTATCTAGCTGTCTGTTTGGTATTGACATGAGTAACCCATCCTTGGAAGAGCGGAGTGCATCAAATGGACATGTGTCAATATCAGGTACTGTAAATAGAGATTCTGTAGCAGCCTATAGTTGTACAACCAGTCGTTTGATTTTAGAAGTTCTTATTCGGTTGAGAAGTGCCCCTTTCCCCATTAACAGTGTGAAACAAAGTTAGCTGAAGAAAATAACTTGATACTGTCTTGGGAGTTGAAAGGCAGAGAGAGGTGCCGATACAGCTAGGTACAACTAGTAGCAGGTTTTTACACTTCTAATAACTGGCAAGGATTGGTTTACTCACCATGGTTGTACTGCTCACTTTAAAGACAGGCAACTAACATTTATCCTGTATCCTGACAGTGATCTGTGAAAAAGCATCTAATCGAATTATTAATTACTTGACTTCCTTAATGTTGGTGTGCATATATTTTTCAACATCGCCTACACCTTGTGCAGCTATATCAAGAGATTTTTTTCTTTTTTCAATGTTAGACAAACCCAATAAACTTAAAATTAAATTATTTTTATGCTTAAAACCAATTTTAAAATTTATGCACCCCAAATTGTGATGTTATCACAATGGCTCATTAATTCATTGTCTATTTTATGTTAATTAAATTTTTAAATTATTATTTTTGCAGTGGTGAAAAAGCCAGGTGATAGTTTGTCTACAATGCTCCAATATGATGATGTGAAAGAGATGTGGCAATATTTTACATTATCGGGACTACCTGGGCAAGGAAAGTGTGGTCCCTCTCCAGTAAGTTCTTTACAAATTAATGGTCAGGTTAATTCTCATGTAAAGTAAAGGTGCACTGAGCATTTGAGCCCAATGAGCTGTCAAGCCAGAGCTTCTATTTCAAAGCACTTAGTGGAATGGAATATAATTACAGTGACTTCTCTTGGTCAGTGGTCTGAATTCGAGTCTATCACTGGTCACTGGCACCTGCAACCAACCCCCTCCCCCCTTCCTCCCAATGGGTCTTGTCTTGTAACTTACTGTAATATTAATTGTATACACAGTATATTTTTTGTCTCTTGATTTAGATGGATTTATTAAACATATATTATGGGAAGAGGTGCATGAAAAAAGTAGCCTTATGCAACTTTCTGATAGACTGTTAGATTCTTAACTTCCAAATGTGTCAAATCTTCCCTTGTGGAACAGGCGGAGAAGTGTTCTGCACTACCCTTCATTTATGCATTTCCACGGAGATGGATGTGGTTTTCTATGTGCAAAACCTTAAAGCTTTTAAGTTGTTTGTATTTTCTGAGTTAAAAGATAAGGAGTAGGTTTACCATGATTGTCTCTTTACAGGTGGGTAAAACTTGGAATGGAGCTGTTTGTTGTGAGAGAGAAGTCCCACCTAACAGTTCAGAGGTAAATTTTAATTTCTCATAAATACCAAATAGGCAACAGAGAATGCTAGGAACAGATTAGTCTTAATTTTATTTTAGGAGTAGCTTGTTTATGACTGTGATGAAATGCCAATGTGCTGAATTTCAAATTCCAGTTGGACTAGGAAACAGTGGACAAAGAGTTTATTCACTGATGTACCACTGTTAAATCCCCTGATTATTACCACCACTATTATTATTACAATTATTACTATTATTTATGAGTAGAAGATCAAACTGGGTTAAATTCAAACCCAGTAATGATTCAATTTATCATAACCTATTTGTATTTCAGACCTTCACATTTCTCTTGGCTTGGCATTTTCCACACAGGTATGTTGTATTAGTATAGGTAATAACATGATGTCAAGTGCTATTTGGTGTCGATAAGCAGGAGTAAATTTTGGAAAGACGACGGGTGAGTGCAATTTGTTGTCTTTGAAAAATGTACAATTGCTTATTTGTACCAAATTGCATGAGAAATCATGTTATTACTTATTATTAATTTACATGAAAAAAAAAAACATCACAAAAAGTCAAGACAGGTGTGTTTCATGAATAATAGTGTACATGACTGGCTGAAAATGGGTGCATTCTCATGTAACATGAGTGCAAAATTGTAACATGAGTGCAATTACAAATAGCGCATACTGTCAAAATTTATCTGTCTTTACTTTCTGTGAAGATTTTTCATGTACATCATTAACAAGCAACAACATGATTTCAAGTTCAGATTGGTGTAATAAGAACTTATAAATTTTTCAAAGACTACAAATTGCACTTGCCCTGCAGGCTTGTGCAATTTTGTTGTATTTGAATAATTTACTTGTGCTTATTACAACTAAATTGCAGTGGAAATCATTTTATTACCTGCGCTAAAGCACTCACTTTCTGCCAATCAGAAGTGCATATTTTTTCATGTATATTTTATTAAGCTGGAAATGGTGTAAGCAATTAATCAGAAATAAGACATGGCATCAAAATCATGAAATATGTTGGAAAAGGTTTACTTTACACAGTTTTATCGATACAGTAGGGATTGGTGTTCATTTGATGTTTTTGAAATGAACAAGTGATTGATACTTTATATTGATTGATTGATTTTTTATTTAATTAATTATTTGATGGACTTATTGGTTGACTGATTGATTGATTGATTGACTGATTGATATATCAACTGATTCATTGATTGACTGTTGATTGATTGACTGATTAATTGATCAATTGATTGATTGATTACTTAATTGACTGACTGATGGGCACAGTGCACTGTACATGTTGGAGTCTGTGCAAGTGTGTGCACAGGACTCCAAGTCCAAAATTTTCCAAAATTGCCAGCTGGGGACTACAATCATTGATTAGTTGCTTGAAAAATTTTTTTAGTTGACTGAAAGAGAAAAGAAATATTTAAAATGTCAAAGGTTGTGACATTGTAAGTGATTGCTAAACAAAGGTTAACAAACTGGTTGGTAGATTTGCTGCAAATTTAGGGATCAAAACTACTGCAGCTCAAATTTTTGATGTAGTATGTTGCAGGGCCAAAAAGTTCATTTCCCTATCATAATATACAATTCATGGGATGTGACACTGTCATTGAAGTCATAGTGACAAACCTCACATTTTTGCAATTTTATTTCTTCCATTAAAGTTAAAATTTTACTTGTCTTCTGGACAGATATGTAAACTGGAGCCAGGGGTATTTTGGTATCAACGATCCCAATACACAGTTTTACATTGGCAATCAGTATTGCAAGTTCTGGAAGAACATTAACGAGGTGAGAACACTATCACCCAATGTTCCATTTGTTTAATCCTTTGCAATCAGTATGGCAAGTTCTGAAAGAACATTAACGAGGTGAGAGCACTATCACCCAATGTTTGATTTGTTTAATCCTTTGCACTTTACATCTGGTTGTTGCTGACAGCCAGACAAACACAGGCGTGTATGCATTCATTTAAACATAAGGCAATTAATGTTGGTTATGCTGTGGTACCCATAAGGTGGTACACCTGGGCCCAGTTGGTCAAAGGGGCGGATAGCACTATCCATTGGATACATCGCATTCCAGTGAATAAGTGTTTATAAAATGTAATATGCTATCCACAGGATAGAGATTTATTCAAGGGATAGCGTTATCCACCCTTCAAACAACTGTTGCCTGGGGTTACAGAATTTATATGCTCCCCTACTGTCTTTTGGAATTCAGTCATATGGGTGGACAATCAAGGACCTAAAGTGTTCTTTACAATGTATGATATTCAAAGTTGTTTGTGTTTGGAGGACATGGTAAATTTTGTTAACCTGAATGTAAACAAAATTACGACAAAAAGTAATTATACTGTTATTGTTAAGGTTAAAAAGTTATACTGATATTCATGTTGGATCTTTAAAACTTCACAAAAATTAGTTTGTGACAATTCGAATTCCTTTTGGAACTGAGCGTGGCATTCATTTTATCTTTTTATCCTTTATTTAGTTTGTGCTTTAGTTTAAAATAAAAGAAAGAACTGCCCTCATGGAATGATGTCGTAAGTTTCACCTTGCCGAAATACTGTTTCCTCAGTGAACAGAGCGTAGCCTATATTTCTTTCACCCAACCTGTAATTTGGTGCCTTTGTGAGTGAAATTGAAGAAGAAATGTTGACGATGGCCTCCACTGTTTGTATTTCAGGTTTTGTACTACACAACTGCTAACTTGGAGTCCTTAACATTGTCGACCAGGGTCTTTAGGAATGCAATGTTTGATTCCACATTGCCGTGGCAAATAATTGACAGTGCAGCTGGACGGCTGTCTGTTGTAAGGTGGGTTATGATTGAAAGTTTGATGATCGCAATTAAAGTTTGGAGGGTTATAGCTGTTTTAACAACGGCTGTATGAAATTGGAAACGATCACCTACTACTGCTCATGATTATTAAACAAATTCTCCTTGTCAGTACCATACGAAATATGTAGAGAACAGTATGGAGAATATTGATACTGATCTTAGGGTGTGCTGTGATGATTTGGTCAAACCAATCATCACGTGTTAAGATTTTGTGACGATTGCTTGGTTGGTCGTTGTAGCCAGGAAGGATCCAGGGACAACAAGTCCTTTTTCCAGTTTTCTTGATTCTTTTCAAGTAAACATTAATGCTTTGTTTCGCACATTCGGCTGCTTCCAAAAGAGACTAAAATAAGCACTGTTTCGACCCTTAAAACTTTTAAAAGTTTCGAATAAGCGCCTTCCCTTGATGTACCAAAAGTCATTACGTTCATCAGATTTTAACGAGAGATAAAATATTTTCTGTTAGATCCCCCACGTGTATGTGGTTGGCTGATGGCAATCTTTATGGATTTGAAGGTAGAAATGATTAACATCTAACTTCGTCACACAACGCTGACACATTATCCAGCATGCTGGTGATGAGAATATGGGAATAGACGTTTCAGTTTGGGTGTGAAACCAAACTCGCTAAGTTAATTTTTTATGAGATGTGAAGCGGTTATGAATAAGAGAGACTAATCAGACCCTTGAAGTCTTGAGGGGCGAATACGGTTTTAAAACCATCATGTTATAATGTGGCCAGAGGGAAAATGCAGTAGTGGTTCTTGTTAGCCTGTGAGAAGGCCCCATCAGGAGAGCTTGGGCGCAAGCGTTTTTTTTCCCGCGGGAAGGTACCAGCCCTTGAGCAACGTGAGCCAGTGATAGGTCAGCTAGCGGTCTGGCACTGATAGTAGTACCAGATCCCCGGTAAACCTCTCCCCGACTCGCCTCATATATTCCCGTGGGCGGAGAAACGCGCGACCTGCAGCACTAAAATGACTATAATGGCCTTCTCGCAAGCTAGGTTCTTGTTAGGTGAAGTGATTCTGGAAACTCTCGTCTCAGTTTTTACAGTATGAAAAATTGAATTTAAATTTTGGAGAGGTCGAAGCGTTTGCCAATACGTAACGAGATTGAATCTTTGAACTTGATTGAATGTATATATCTAATTCAATGTATCTATTAACGTTTCTGGTTGTCTTTTTTGTCTCCTTCCATTTCCAGGATGTAGTAAAGTTGGAGGTGAGTTCGTGTTGAAGCGCTTTTTAATCGAGTGTTATAAAACCAACTTCAAAGTAATCAGAATGGCAAATCAAAGCTGAGGAGAATATCGTAAGGGACGAACGAGTACTTAAAGTGTAAACAAGCAACCTTTCCGAAGCACGAGTTAACGAGCATGACAAAATCGCGACTTGATTTTGTGTGCCCTGATTGATTTATAAGGTGGCGCGAGTTTTCTGGACCAATTACGGAGCGAAGTAAAGCAAAATCAAAAGTAATTCCCGATTCCTATCGACGCTTAGTTAAATGTTTACTCCACAATCAAATTTTACTGCATTTCTCCAACACAGGCATAAACGCACTTTTTAAGTTGTTGGCCACCTGTAAAGGAGAAGTTGGAAATTTTAATTTTCCTATTAAAACTGTCGCTGTTCAAACATCTTTGCACGAATTTATTTAGCCAAGACGCTATTATTAGGGTGTCGTTTAAACTGCGTTGGCGCTCATTTGTGAAACTGTGATGTTGATTTCATATTTCATGTCGTCAGGTTGTTGCCCGCTCAATTGCACACACGTGTTCAACTACGAAATGGCCATTGCAAAGTAAGTTCTGTGGCACTATAACTGTCTAATTTTTGCGAGCGTCTGGGTCATTCTTGAAACTATCCCTTTTGAAGTTTCGCGATTGGGATTCATGGTGCTCTTCTCTTTGCGCAACCTTTTCACCTTCTCTGAGAGTATGGTAAACTGTAACTTTTCTTCACAATGTGAATGTTAAGTAGAGATGACGCCTCAAAAAGATTAGTGTATTCCACGTGCCTATGATATTAACTTTAGTCAAATGTACTCTAACAGTGCTCATGAATTTTTTATTTTTATCAGGTGTTTCCCTGATTTGGAGAGAACCATGAGAGTGGTTGACCTGAAAGAGCAGATAGCTCCCAATGCCATCATACCAAGGTACGGTTTGCCTAAAATAAAGCAGATCATCATTGTAGCGAACCACCAATTAATCGAGTTGAGAAGGTGCAGCGAGTGTTAGACGCAGCAACTTGACTTGCAAGAAATGCGAAGCGCGAGAAAAGCAGACGGAGCCGCTGCCAAGTGCAGGAAAACCTGGAGTTGGTACCAAGCGCGGGAGAATTTGCCACCGAGACGCGGGTAAACACTTAGCCTATTGCCAGACGCAGGAGAGGTGGCCGAAAAAAAATGCGTGACAAAAACGTGGAAGTGCATTTTTGCGGTTGTAATTGCGAGAAATACCGTCCTACTCTTTTCGAAGCGTGAAGCTATTTAAGTACGGTTCAGAGGTTAGGTAGGACATAAACGCTCACTGGTAATTGAATATGTTTGGAAAAGTGTTGTTTTCATAATATTTTTAGCCGCACTACTGTGCCTCTTGAGCTTCGACGCTGGTGGAGCTTTTGGCCAAACTACACTGACGTTGACCCCGCCTCTACTACGATATGCGTTGATGGCGAAATTGGAACCGTGTTGAAAACCTACAGGGAGGTAAATATACCACATACGAAACGATCTTCTGTTGAGAAATTTAGACAAAAAACCTAAAGAGGCAATGGTAAATCAAGAAGGAACAAGGATGGCGAAAGATGAAGACGATTGACACGGATTGCAAAGGAAAATTCGAGACTTCAGGATTAATTTTACAAGTAATTCATTCCGCGCTCTTCTCAGAGCTATCTCAACTGAGTGTTGAAAGTCATTCAGGATTGCTTTGGTTTCGATAAACTTTGCTCTGTGATTGGTCTAGGAAAACTCGCGCCATATTCTCAACCAATCAGATGCAAGTTAAAAACGAATGCGACTTGACCACTCGCGTTTTCCCGCGCTTTAAGCAATTTGCTTGAATTCACTTTTAATTCTTATTGGCTAATGACAATGTAAACCTTGGTTCTGATTGGTTGCTGGGATATCTTTGGTTTTAGTGTTTCGACTCCCAGTCTATTTACAAGCCAATATATATTTGGCAAATCTCTCAAATCAGATCACTAAAGGCTCATGAAAGAAATGCAATTGTGGCCCTTCTTGTCCATCATTTCAGGTTCTTCAGGGGGCTACTCAAGAGTGGTTCAATAGTTTATGGCCAGCGGTTAAGAAAATCATGGCACGATGGATGGGGGAACTGGATTCGGGAGATGGTAAAAAAAAACAAATTTTAAATACTCTTGGTAGTTGTATTTTTGGCTCATTGAGAATTTTTCGTTAAAAGATATCAGGCATTTCTTTAATTGCATTATTCACTCTGTCGATGTTTCGTCTTCACAGGTTTGATTCGTACTCCTCAGCCTAACACTTATGACATCTGTTTCTATGGTGTGAATACTTTCACGTGCTGTCTTTATCATTGTGCATTACGGTTAGTAGCCACCATTGTTTTAGTTATGGTGTGAAAACCGTTCATCGTTAAGAATTTTCACGACAGATTGTCGATTAAACGGAACCAAATCATCGCTACAGCCAATCAGAATAAAGAAGTTGTGAAGGAGCCAATGAAAACTCAGAATGAACACACGTACCCGTCCTCTAGCGCGGGAAAACGCCTGTGTCTAAGTCGCTTTTGGTGCAAAAATATAATCAATGCAAAGTGATTAACTGAGAGGAAGACGCGAGATTTCTAGACCAATCACAGCGCAAAGTAAAGCAAACCCTATGTTTGTACACTCATTAGGGAGAAAGTTTGCATCATTATTTGTTAAGTTAAAATGAGATGTTAGAGAGTTTTTAGTCGGAATAATCCAGAAATACAGGAGAATGTGAGCTTTATTTATTTATTCATCCAGTATTATTTTAACTTTTTATATCGGAATGAGTTGTTGAGCTATTTTTCTGTTTTCGATTGAAAGGACTTTGCTATATAGAGGTGTGTCTTTGACGCATGCTACTGTCAAATGAACTGCTACTGTACAAAGATGGATTTGTCCCAAACTGATTCGTTATTCCTCTTATTGTGTTATAGAGCTGCGGAGGAGATGGCGATACTTCAAAAAGAATCGGTACAGTAAAGGTTTTTTCCAACTTTTTCCGTATTTCCATAGTTTGACCTTGTAACTCCCAGAGGTGATAAACATACAGCTTTTCCCTACAATATCCAAATATTATCCAGCAAACAGGTAATGGAAATACTAAACTCAACATGAAGAAGTTGTTATCTTGAGCTAACACCGAATTCTCGTAACTATTTTACAAGGAAATGTGTCGCGGCTAGAGGGGAGAATTAACAGTTAGATCTTGGGGGTAAAACTGTGAAAACAACACACCTGGGGGGAGGGGTGCGGGGGGTGTTAGGAATTCTCGAGTACATGTTACTCCTGATTGTAATAAAAAGTTAATCATATTTGACGGTGAAATAACCTGATTTGCCTCCATATCGCCAGGAGATTCTAGTTTAGTGAATCGTGTCCCTCTTATTGCCAGTCCTAGCTTTGCTTCTCAGCTTGCGAGCAGGTCTTTATTATTAGCGCTGCCGGACGCGCGTTTCTCTTACGGGGGGAAAGTTTGAGAAGAGTCGGGAAGCGGGAAGTTTATCGGGGTCCCTCCTCCCTCTGGTGGACCTTTCGCCGGCTCTCGCTGTTCTAGGCCTCTTAATTTCCCGCGGGCGAAGACGCGCGCGAGCCGAAGGGCTTATCAGGATAATGGCCTGTTCGCAGGCTAATGCATTTGGAAGGTGTCTACAATTGTTTAAGATAAGATCGCTAACTAGAAAAGCTTTGAATGTTTTAATTTTTTGGGCCTTTTAGGACCTTGCTGATGAGTACTCCGCCAGGTTCAAACTGGGAAGTGTCAACCTCGATAAGGCCTGTTACACAAACGGAAAATGGTACACACAGGTAAGCCATTTCTTAAAAAGAACCTTTCGGTGTACAATGCCCTTCATGGTGACCCAGGAGTGGCATAGCTCAGAGCCTCTTTATCAGGACGAGGTAGCAATCCGTTTGAATTTGTTCTAAAGAATGCAAGTGAATTTGATCTGAATTCTTTGATCTGCTTTGGTTTCTTTTTTCTGCAACTCATTATGTCTGAGTCATACGTGAAATTTTATTTTTTAGTTGGCGACGTTCGCGTTTACGTTTTTGCTACGGTTTGTAAGAACGAACCCCATCTATTAATGCTTCAATGACCGAGTATTTGATCCTAGTCGCTATGATTATTGAAGGGAGAGGAAAAAGGGAGAAAGTCTTCACCTCTTCCATCCTGGACTATAGAGGGATACTGTAGCCGAAAGGGGATCCTTTTTCGTGCGTGTGGTGAATGAACGGGCGCGGCTTCCATAAGTGCAAATGTGAAAAGAGAAAAACTTTCTTAAGTTGTTTGAAAGGATCAAGCGACGACTCCATTTGATTATTTTTTAGAGGTTACCCATAATCATCCTTTACTGAATCTTTCATGGTAGAGAGTGAATGCATCGTTTCACATCTTGGATCATTAAAGGACTCCTTTGTAAAAAGGGGTAAAGATTTACACCTTCGGACGAAGTAAACCCGTACAAAATTTCCTTATCACAGCCCTTCCTCCCTTTCCACTAAACCTCTGCATTTTAATGTCTTAATTGTAATCTGTATTGTTGTGTAGGTGCTAGATCCAGAGAATCCGAAAGAGGAAATTGCCGACGGTAGGGTGACTTTCTAATGTAATTTTTGAGTGGGGCGGATGAAGGGAGAATGCATTGCGTGACAATATTAGAGAGGCAGTGGGCTTGAGTCTTTGATATTTTTAATTTTAGGAACGTTCATTGATTGTTTGCTTGGCCAGTGGTGGGCAAATGTTTTGCAGCTCGGTGATATTTTACCAAAGGAGCATGTCATGTCTACTTTGGAGAACATTTACTCCAGAAATCACGTGGATTCGTTTAATCCAGGTATGGCAAATTGTAGTCGATGAAGATGGTTCTCTCGTGCAGGTTTTCTTTTGTTTCTAGCGTGACGTGTGTCTGCTAAGTTTCATAGGTAGTCGTCTTTGCAGCTGTCATTTGAAATGTCACGCAACGCTGCTTGAAGAAGAGCTGAGAGGAGTGTTGCGTGACATTTTCGAGAACGGCTACGACGGATGAATCCTTCTGGTTAGGTGAACAATGATATTGGAAATATTGATATTAATACTAATATTAATGATAATAATAATGATTCACCGTTAATTCAAATGTTAGAATAAAATTGATCTTGAGCTTAAACGTTGGAAACCCAAGCAATATGACTCGTAACCTGCCAAGTAATGTCGCCGCGAACTTTACCTTTAGTGTAAGTGTACCTTATTTAAAGAGGTTTTTCGCATAATTTCATTCCTGATAATTGTCGCAAGTTTGGTTTTAATTCTTATGTATCCATATATATCCTTGTAAGACTTCTCATCTCAAATCTCGTATTATTGTCAAAAGCTATTAGAATGTATCATCATAATCAGACCTTGACGAGTTTTCGATTGTTATGTTATTTGGTTTCTTAAATTTACTATCTTACGTATAAAAAGGAATTTTTAGAAACATTTGATTGCAAAATTAAACGCTTAAACTTTATTGAAATACACAGAAACTTCTAAACACTTTAAAAGATTTTGACCAGGTTTCGACGTTGCTCCACGTCACTATCAAGTCAAGAGTAAAAATTACAACAGAAAATATTTCATTATGTATCAGATTAAGTAACTTTATATTTGAATTATGTCTACTAGCGGACCAGAATCCCCGGAAGTTCTTTGACCAGCGAGACGCCGGACTTTACATTTGCCGGTGGCCTGGGTCGCCTCCAGAAGACCCCTTCCGGCACAGTAGTGAGGTTAGTGGTGCATCTCATCCAAATTGTGTCCAATTCGTGCCTATTAGTTTCAGCAGGTGTATAAACTTTCGTTTATGTAACTGCTTTATCTTCTTGTCACGCAATGTTAAGAAAGAATGACGCATGTGTTATGAGGTTTTATGTCAGATTTGAGTGTTCCTGTCGGCTGTCAAGCGGCTGTTGACGTTGGGACATGCTCATGGCATGTCACGCAATAGTTATTCGCAGAGGGACGATTTAGCTATGCAGGTTACCATCTTAAGCACCCTACACATAAGAGACTAATGTCTATGAAGACTTGTTCACAAACGTTTCTACTAGTGTCACGCTCACGCATTCGTAACTTAGAATACACAAAGATTGAAACGATGAAGTGTGTCCTCAGCTAAAATCTAATGTATTTTATATTTCTTTTTTCGCTTAATAAGGGAGCCTGGACTGGTTTGGAGTACGAATACGCCCAATTGTGTTTGAATCAGTCAATGGTCAGCACAGCACTCAGTGGTATTGACAGTCATTTTGTCTTGTGTTTGCGCGTTTGTTCATTCATAGGGTGTCTTCTTTCGGGATGTTTGACTTTACACCGCTCTTACCTCCTTTCATTTAAGATTCTTTTGTTCACATTGCACCTTTTCTGGTTTAGTTTTGACCGACACCCGTGAAAAGTATGACGGCACTCGACGCAGTCCTTGGAACGAAATTGAGTGTGGCGACCATTATGTTCGCCCAATGGCAGCTTTTACCTTTTTTGAGTTCGCCTCAGGTCAGGTAAGGAGTACTTCGCTATCAGTAGCTCTTAATTATGATATTGACATCCAGTGCTTGTGTTGTAAGGTTTTGCTCTTGTGCGTGGCGGTTTTGTGTGCGCTTTTCTTATCCGCTTGATGATTGTTAAAAAAAAGTTTTCAAGCACCTTACGGAGACACTTCTATCTGCTTAGGGATTTTTCATAAAAAAAAAGAATGATGTCTGTCAAGGAGATTGTGTCTTTCTTTACTGATGTCACGACGTGACGTCACCTGAACTGAGCTGAGTTAACCAAGATTATTGCGACCTCAAACTGATAAGAATAAGATGGTATGGATTGAAAATGTGACTTGCGTCTAATTTCTCCATACAGTATCACCCCTGAATCACACATTAAGGTTACAAGATAAAGGAAATGATCACCAACTAAAGATTGTTAAACCAAATCTCCTTCTTAACACCTTAGGAAAGCTATAGAGAACTGTAGGGAGAATATACATACTGAGATTAGGGCGTGAGGGGTTAAAAAATCATGATTGAACGTAAGTCTTCACTTTTTCTTGAATTATTTTTTTTACCAGACTTGGAAGTTGTCCGAGGTTGGGAATCCTTTGATCAGCCTTGGGTTTGCACCGCGAATTAATCCATCAGACTTCTGTGGCTTTTTTATCACTGCCACTGCTTGGGGTCAGTTTAAACAGAAGGGAGATGAAGAAATGAGAGATGGAACTGCTGAGGTAAAATATTATGAATTTTTTTTTGTATGAAGTTTTTTCCTTTGCCCCAGTGAACATAGCCAAAGTTTAGAACAGACACAGTTTTTCGCTGATGCTGTGATGCCGGTAAATTTTAGCCTTCAGTATCCACTTTTGTTCGTTTTCCAGCTTTGTGTTCATCATGGAGAACTACGCCTATCACAGCTCACTCTCAAGTCACGTGCCTCCTCGGCCTTAGCGCGCATGGCAGGAGGTATTAACGAGTTGCTGGTCACAACAGTGGCTCAGGTAAAACATCTTTCTTTTGCGAAAATGAACTCTAAAGACCGTAAAACGCTATTGGGCGGTTGAATTAAGTTTATTGTGAATTTATTTTGTGTCTTTTTGACTAGAACGCTGAACAGCTCTCAATTGACTTCGATTCTTGTGGAATTCTGTTCAAAGCTGGCGAGAGTCTGCATGTCACACTTTCAGGTATGATTTTTTGTATTTACTTTGCCATTAAGGTGAAGTGTATTCCGGTGGTTGCGTTGTTTATATTAATCAATCATCAAAGACTTCAACCCCGTAATCCATGCATGCACCGAAATGGTCTCGGTTCAACATAACGTCGGGGAGGTCGGTTGTATTTATTTGAATATTAAACAGAATGAACTGATTTGCTTTCGGTTCGATTTTGTCTGCGAATAAAGGTCTTATTTTTTCTACCATAATTGAAGGGCTCACGCCTATTTCGGTCACGCTTACTGTCTTTAACTTTTTACTTTCAAACAGGTTAAGCCTGTTGCATTTTATGGCTGTCCTCGAGAGAGGACATGGGTGGCTTTGCATCGTTACCAACGAATGATCCGTAGACACACTCCAAGATGGCGTCTCATTAAATTATAAATGTACGTTAAAGTATTATTTTAAAAAAAGCCCTACCACCCCCTCCCCTCACCTTCTCCTCTTCTCTGCCCTACCACCGACAAGTAAAATAGCATTTTAATCAACATCTGATTGGTCCAAATTCTATTTCTGAAAACTTGAGGTTGTAACCAGGCTTTTAATGAAATAGCTTAGCCTCAAACATTACAGAGAAGTACTAGAAACACCATTTGAGACGGATATGCTATAAAAACGACTCTGAAAACTTCATAATAAAGTTAGTAGAAACGAAGGTTTAAACGTTTATGTACTGGAACTTGACGCATGCCGGCATTATGCTAATCTAAGTAACTTAGTATTATTGACTGTGTTGATAACGTAAATTGGCCACAGTAAAGAGTTTAAAAGCTGACGTTTCGAGCGTTAGCCCTTCGTCATAGCGAATGACGAAGGGCTAACGCTCGAAACGTCATACACACATACATACATGATTTGTTAAAGTAGGTCGAAAAGTGGCAGCTTAAAGAGCTGATGTGGACCTACCTAAAACATTTTTATAGAAGTTTTTATACAACAATATACAAAATTATGAACTGAATCTTTGTTAAAAATATTTACAGAAAATTTTACAGAATATATACAAGACTGTTAATTAAACTTAGCATAAAAAAAAAGTTTTTACAGAGCAAGAAAATAGATCACTTTAAAATACCACTAATAAGTTGATAATAAATGAAACTGTTTACATCTTTGTTAAGATTAGTAATGGTTCCTGGAACAAATGCCACTTTTCTTAACCGAGTCTTGTTGCATTTTAGCTTATTTGTTTGTAATTATCAAGTTTATTTAAGAGCCTAGATGAACTTTCAAGAGATTTCCATACAGTCGGAGTCCTGAAATAGAAACTGTTCCTCTCAAGATCTGTTTTATGAGTTTGATTTCAAGGAGTGGGCCTTTGCGCCTCAATTCAGTAAAAATGACAAACGGAAGTAATCTGCTGTTCAGGCCTTGCTTGACTTTGAAAACTTCAATCACTAAGCTTCTTTTATATAGGTATCCTCAGTCTTGCCACTTGATAAGGTCAAGGACTTCATGGTCCAAATAGTTCTTCGAATTTTTATGAATATTTGTACCTACCTTGATGAGCGAGTTTTCCATTTCAGTAAAGATAGCAACAGATCAACTACCCCAGACTCTGATACAATAAGTCACTCGAGGTATTACAGTCTGAAAATAAATTTTTTCCGATAGATGTTATGGAAGATAACTCATCTTCCTCAAGACATGTAGCTGGTTAGCAAAAGCTTTTAGTGCTTTATCAACATGTTTTCTCCATAGCAGTCGGTTATCAGTCAGAACTCCTAATAGTTTTGTTTTGGTGGTATATTCTAGCAATTTATCGCCACATCTAACTGATAATAAAGGTCCTACATATTCGTCTTTTTGCATTATTGTTACTTCAGTTTTTCAAGTATGTAGGGTAAGTTTGTTAAGTTCACACCAAGTGCGGATCTTTATAAAGAGCAGATTGAGCTTTACTACAACCTCATTGGCGTTATTTAACAATTGGTTCATACGTCAGCGTGCGTTCATTGAGATATGAAGCACGCAGGAAGTTTGGAGAGCACGAAAGATGCGTAAGAGTTGCTCGAGGCGTAGCCGAGAGCAACTCTAGCTTCTCGAGTGCTCTCCAAACCTCCCAAGTGCTTCATATCTCGATGAACGCACAGCTGATGTATGCACCAATTGTTTTATAACATTTTCAACCCGATGGAAAAATTTTTTTCTCGAGGGATTTGTTCGCTGACGTCACGAGCGTGCACAATAGGAATATGAAGCACGCTCGCGCAATTGAATTTGATTACACAAATTTACTCGCTATGTTATAATTCCAATTACGAAAGCTGTTGTATCATCCGCGTAAAGGTGTGCTTCACCTTGGGATATACAATCAGAAAAATTGTTTACACAACTGGAAAAAAGTCCTGGGGCTTAACGTGAACCCAGAGGGACTCCATATCTCACTTCTGGTGGAGGAGATAGGATGCCATTTAACTCTAAAAACTGTTGTCGACTTGATACATAGCTCTGCGACCAGCAAGATAACTGTCCACTCAAGCCGCAAGCATGCATTTTTATAGTGTAAAATGTCGTGACTGACTGAGTCCAAAACCTTTCTGAAATCCATAAAAATAGCTCCTACAACTTTCCCTTCACCTATTGACCGTTTCCAGGATTCCGTCAGGTACAAGAGTGACTCAGATGATTGACCCTTTCCGTATCCCCACTAGTGTTTCTGCAACATCTCATTTAAATGAGGGTTGATCGTATCACAAATGATAGATTCTGTGATTTTACTATGGATGCTCAACATAGTCAGTGGTCTGTAATTACCACACTCGCCATTATCACTTCCCTTGTGCAAGACTGACTTTATCAATTTTCCATTGAGTTGGATATTTTCCTTCATCGTTGCTCATTTTGCTTCTGTGAGCAACATTGTAGCAGATCTCCTTGGCAACGATTTTCATTTCCTTCGGTGTTATACCATCCATATATCCACGGCAGAGATTCAGCTTTGAAACTCTTTACGGTGGCCTATTTACTTTGTCAACTCAGTTGATAATAATAAATTACCCTGTTATACTCTTCCACCGACGCAGCACCACAGTTTCTTGAGAAACTTACCTCCCCTATGCTTATCTGAACCTAGTTATTTACCTGCGGAAAGTTTTGAGAGCACGAAAGATGCGTAAAACTTGCTCAAGGCGCAGCCGAAGGGAACTGTAGCTTCTTGAGTGCTTCAAAAACTTTCTAGGTGTTTCATATCTCGATAGATGCTCAGCTGACGTATGAACCACCCCGCCATTCCGCGTGGGTGACCGCCGTTAACCATTTACACCCATGCATATTCTTCATACAGTTCATCATACACTTCTTCAGGTGCTGACAAGGAGAATTTGTTTAACAATCAAGAGCTTTATAGTTGGTGATCATTTCCTTTATCTTGTGACTTTAATGTGTGATTCAGGGGTGATACAGCAAGGAGAAATTAGATGCTTATCACTCTTAGGGTGTAAAGGGTTATTACAAGTCGGACTGTAATTGTCTGGTTTTACTATGTCTACCGGCCACCATAAAGAGTTTCTGATGCTAATGTTTCGAGCGTCAACCCTTTGTCGTAACCGCTTCCGTTTAATAGAGCAGTAAATTATTTTTATCCAGTTGGATCGACGCCTACGTGATTAGTGCATTTCAGTTTAGAGTAAGACCCCTTGAGATCAAGACCGTTTTAGGAAGACCGGTTGGACAAAAACCCTCGATAATTAATCAAAACCCACAGACACTGGTAAGAAACAACTTATTTTGTGTATATTTTGTTACGGGGCTATGATTTAAAGCGAAAATTATTGTTATATGATGAAATTCGACTTTTTTTGGAGGTATTTCAATTGACATGAAGACGTCTCAAAATTGTGACCATTCTTTAAGCTATGATTGTAACGATACTTAGGTAATTTCTTGATGCGATGATTTCAGTTGGCCACTTCGAATTCGATATAAGAACGCCCCAACGAAAAAACCTTATGTTGCTTTCAGTGGTGTCTTTCCGGTATGCGCGTGTATCAACCCAGGATTCAAGATTCGATTTAGACCAGCCGTAAACTAGAACATAGTACTTAATAGTGTTATGAATTCGTGAGAATACTGTGAGGAAACCAAAAAATATATGCCAAAAATGTACGTAAATTGTAGCAACAGTGATGATTTAACTCCATGTTCTGACAAGGAACGTCGCTTGACTGAATTTTTTATCATTACGAGTTGCTTCGAATCGAGTTGAATAGTAAGTGAACTTTATTGATTTCAAAGGCTGACATGATCTATTCATTGTGTCTGTCACAAATTTTCACTTATCTTCACTTTATATATTCCGACGCCTTTTTGATATTGTAGCGAGCTGGAGTAAGGAACGACATCTACATTCTATTTAGTTCAGTTAAGTGAGCGGTTAAATTAAATATGTGTACGATCCTACTGATACGAAATCAGGCAATATCTTGTTGATCATGCATATCGTTCCTGCTTTCTTACATTCTTTCTTCCTTCCTTTCATTCTTCTTTATTTCTTTCTTTCATTTTCTTTCATCCCCCCTTCCATTCATTTTTTCCTTCTCTCATTATTTGATTCTACCTCTCTTTTCCTTCTCTTTTTTCATGATATTAACGCAAAGCTGCATCTGTTGCTTCAGCAACGAGTTTCAGAGATAGAGTCCATTCCTTGATTATGGCTTCCTTGAGAGACAGCAGGAGACTGTAACGCAAATGGTTGATCACCTCTGTTCTTTTTCTTACTCATTAAAAGCCCTCTGAGAGGATGGCCTGCCAGTCTTTTAAGAGATCTAGTGAACTTGTCATTTTTAAACGCGAATATGAAAGGGTTAAGACAGGCATTCACCACCAAACAAACAGGAGGAAGCCACCACAGCAGAGTACGATTCATTCTAACATCTTCGAAAACACGTCCTCTATTTATGATAAACCACGCCAGAGCAAAATTAGGCACAGCGAAAAACACGAAACTTGTAAGAACAATCAAACTAATTCGCTTGGCTAATTGCGATTCTCTACGTGTGCCTGCCCTGCGCGCAGATTTTCGCACAACGACGAAAATATGCAAATAAAGAAATACGACGAGGAGATAGGTAAATACTAGAAACAGCAACACTATATCGCTAATAAAAATGGAGGGTATTTTGTCGGAGTTTCTGTGAAAAAGACACATTCTCCCGGGTATTGCGTTATGTCTCATGTCAAAAATTTGTGCTAAAGTTGCTGATGTGGCGCCCGTAATCCAAGTCAGCGGGAGTGCTATTCGTAGAGCTTTGTAGCCTAGCCTTATGTCAGGGTTCATACAGAAAACGATGGCAACATATCGTTCAATAGTCATCAACAGTGACGTCAGTCCTCCATCAACTTGGGCGAAGATAAACAGGTACCTTAAGTAGGTACAGTAGATGTCCTGCCAAGTTTTGAATTCCTGAAGGTCATAGCCATGCCCGAAAGCCATTCCAAATGAGTAAATACCAATCAAAAAGTCGCATACTGCTGTCGCTGAAACCAATAAAAATGGCGGACGTCTTCGAAGGCTTTTAGTCGATACAACTGTTATAATAACCAGCATATTGGAAAAAGTCGCGATGGTTCCCAAGATGAACAAAAGAGGGCGAAGTTTTTTTATTAAATCCCAACAAATATCAAATCTCTCTGACACAGTTTTAGTCTTATTTACCACAGTAAGAGACAGGGTGCAGTTTCGTCTTTGGAAACACACCTTCCTGTTTCTCGAGACCTGATATACAACTTGTTTTTGTTGAATCCGGGAGCATCCGCTGTTATTGAAGGACCTCTTTTGATTCCCTTGTGTCTTGTTTGCCTTATTTGTTTCGTTAACAGCAGATGGGTTTGTTATATTGTTCCCGTCCAGGTTTCTTTGTTACATAACAAAAAAACAGAATACATAAGGAAAATTGTACGATCTCGGTCCCAGCGATTCTCTTCCACCAGGAAAGCGAGGGAGAGAGATCATGGAAACGAGGATGATCATATCACCAAAACTGAAACAAAGTTGACTCGCTCCACCTCGAATAAGACTGGTTAGATTGTGTATCGTAAAGCCAAACCTTCAGAAATTACCACAACTAAAAGAGAATGAATGTCAAGATACCAAGGAGCCGATGTAAACTCGAAACTCATTTTTTAAAAATAACTTCAAGCGCGCGAGAATGCCAATTACCAAACTACGATTGGTCTCAGCTTTGAATATGATTGGTTGAAAAGGTGGTACGAGTCTTAAGATCAATTCTTAAGTGCAGTAAACCAGGGTGAATCGAGTCCCAGATTTCCCTGGCCAACACATCATTGAAAACTACTTCAGGCTAATCATCATGTTATCTGTGTTAATAGTCTGGCACCCTTACATCTATTAGGGTTCTGAGCATGCCCATCTCATCATGAAATAAATTCATGGCTTAAATGTTCCTATCGCTTTACTCGAGTTATTCGAGCTTTATTCTTTCAAGTATTTTCAGTCCTGAATCTCTGCTTCAGGAAACAGTTTCGATGATTTTGTTTACTAGATAACATGATTTTTCTTAGTAATAGCTCATGATTAAATTTGACTGGTTTAAAATTTGTTAAAACATGTATAGCAAAACACTTACATGGTTTTTAGATTACTAAGACCCTTGAACACATCCAGAGACACAATCACAACTTTGTTATAACTGAGATCGCTGCAAAATATAAAAGAAACGTTCTAGTCTAACATGCATAACTTTAAGGGTCAAAATAGTTCACCCAACTTTAATAAAAACAAAGTAAATCTGATATAGTCAAGATTAAACATACAGAAATTCCAGATTTCGAAGTCCGGCGAAAGCTTTAGGTTGTATGATTGTGATCGCATTATGCTGCAAGGAACTGAACAGAAAAGGACTTTCATGTACATGTATATGTATTAAACATAATACCAAGCTGTTGACGTTTGTTAGATCCTGACGTCATCAATAAAATAAGGGAAATCAGCCAATTGGTTGATAAGTTATTTATTTAAGCAGTGAGGCAGTCAGCTAGCCAGCGATCTAGGTAGTCCGTCAGTCAGTCATGTCACCGTCAGGTAGTCAGTCAGTCATCAGTCACTCAGTCTGTCAGTCAGTCAGTTATCAGTCAGTCAGTCGATTAGTCAGTCAGTCAGTCACTCTGTCAGCAAGCTGCATGTCTTCAAGTCAACCTGCTAATCATCTGGTCGGCCGTCATTTAGTAACCAGCCATACGGTCAGTCAGTCCGTAACTCACTCAGAAAGATAGTCATTCAGTCAATGATTCGGCAAAATAGTCATCAGGCAGTCAGCTGGTCAGTCAAAGAATCCGTCAATCAACAAGTCAAGGAGCAAGTCCGCTAGTCAGTCAGTTTTGGTCAGTAAGAGTCTGTCTGTCTATCAGAACGTCCGTCCGTCTGTCTGACTATTTGTCTGTCAGCCTGTTCTTCACTTAATCTGTCGGTCAATCACATTGTCAGTCAAGATCAGTCAAAAAACGTAACTGGTCAGTAACACAATCTATGGAACAACCGCTGATCTCAGCAAATTTTAAGAGCCAGTCAATCAAATGAACTGCCTAGAGAGCATTTAAACAAAGAAATTTCTTCGTCACTTACAGATTTTTCAGTGTCAGAACCCGAAACGCGTCATCTATTAGAGTTTCTAGTTTGTTAAAACTCATATCTCTGAAAAGGTAGAATAAAATTGTATCTAGTCTACCAAATGCCTTTTACACGTTATAGAAGGTCTCTTGTTAAGAACGTCAGCCACTGTGTAATATGGAGGGTACTTGTTGCTCACTTGTAGGTCTTTCGATCTAACAACTTTTCATCTTGTCACTTAGTCACTGCGACCAGGCCTTCAATGTTAGCGTTTCGGGACGAGTGTTTCTTCGCCCGTGGGAAAGTATGAGGCGAGCGCTATAGCACCTCATTATTAGTGCCAGACTCCCAGAAAACGTCTCCCCGATTCGTTGTGGTGATGCGTCGGTTTATGAGAGGTGTAACGTAATGATTTGGTTTTATCAACTGAGTCGTTAACATAAAGTAGCCACCATTAAGAGTTCGCTCTGACGAAGGACTAACGAAGGACTAACGCTCGAAACTTCAGCTTTAGAAACTCTTTACGGTGGTCAATTGACGTGTCAACTCATATATTTTCATATATTCACAGTCAACTCAGATGATAAAACCAAATCATAACATAAGTCAGAAGATAAGTTAGTCGTTCACTAAACCAACAAGACACTCATGCAGTCCTTAAAAGTGCGTGGAAGAAGAAACTTACAGTTTTTTGAGTTTGCTAAGCCCAAAGAATGCACCAGGCTCCACAGTTGCAATGTTGTTGTGCTGCAAGTATCTGAAACAAGGAAATATTACGTAGAAAAATGAAAACTTCGGCTTTTGGGAGGGCTACCAAGTTAAGTTGAAAGAAAGGATGCCATTAGCTTCTTCTCTGTCAATGATTTAAATGTCACACAATGAAAAAACTAACATTAGTGGTTTAAATAAGTTTATAAATGATTTAATACAATACTTACAATACTGTTAACTTCATCATCCCACGAAAACAAGAAGAGGTTAAATTTTCCAGTCTATTGTGACTTAGATCTCTAAAGGCAAGGGAAAAGAGGCAGATAAGGAGAAGGGAGAGATAGAATATATGGTATTGAAAAGCGCAACGCGATCTAACAAAGTAAGATGAAAAAAAGGTCGAACTTGGCCAATTTTCCACCAGAACTTGAGGAGTTGATAAGGGAGGATACATTGTACTCACATCGGTTGTTATCAATGTGATGTAACAGCCTTGGGGGGAGGGGGAGTTGCAGGGAGGGCGGGGAAGAGGGTGGAGCTTTGTATGTATGCCTTTCTTATGCCCTAAGTTGAGAAATTTACGTTTTAGGCATGTGCCGTTCTTCACAGTTTATCCTATGATGATATGATACCATACTATTTAGAGTGATGGCTATTTAGTGTAACCAATGACGAATCTTCGTTTTAAAATACTAATTTGTCAACCACATCTTAGAGTCATCTTCTGTGTTGGGTTTGGTTTTCGAAAGTGATGCTAGAAATGTAAAAGTGAGCACCATCTGAAAAGTCTTGTCAAGAGCTTACAATTCAATCAATGAACGAAGTCCTTTAAAAGTCGCATTTCCCGGCAATCTTGTTATCCTATTATGACTGATAAATCTGAAAAAAAAAAAAAAAACTAAATGTTGTAGGAACATTAACGTAGTGCGTGTTTTGTCATACGGAATAAAAAGAGAATTTTTTTCAAACTTCAAATCTGCAAAACCGAGAAGTCAATACATAGAGTAACACAATCACCAACACAATCACCAACGTTTTAAGTGATATGGATGCTATGTTATTATGCTGTAAACATCTAAAACAAAGTCTTGTATAGGTTAAAAGATTGTAATATCAAAAGAAGAAAATCTGTATTATGATGTGCACTAGGAGCCCATAAGTAAAGAGCTCCTGTGTGTACCTAAAAATATCAGCGATAAAGAACTACTAACAGATCTCTTAAATTGCGGAGCCCAAGGAACGTGCTGTCGTCCAAAGTTGTGATGTTGTTGTGTTGCAAATACCTATTCAAAAAAATGAAAAGAATACAAACGGCGTCTTTCCAAAATTAAATAGAGAAACTAAAGTTCTAAAACTGGAATCTGAGCCCGGATAGATCTGATTGTGGGTTTGGTGTGTGTGTGTGCAATTCCTCCATTCTCTCTGAAGAAGGGCTAACATTCGAAACGTCAGCTTTGAAACTATTTACAGTGGCCAATTTACATTATAAATTAACTCAGTTAAAAAAACCAAATCATCTTGTTTTATTTCCTATAATCTGATTTTGAGACGGAAAATTCTCGATTTCGAGGTTTTGGCAAGTTATCACTTGCACACGAGCTCCTAATTGTAACGCGGCCCCCCAAGGATTCCGTCAGCGACAAAACAGTAATCTGATATTTGCAGAGTTCATTCGTTGCGTTAGGAGGGATTCCACCGCTGTAACTGGGAACCCCTACAGTATTAAGATCGCAATTCCCCCCTACATTTACATTAATTTTAGCTTTGAGAAATTTGCATCATACGAAATCATTTCAGCTGGTTGATAGGCTTCCCCTATGGACCTTTCTGCTTCAAAATGTAATGATCTTTAATTAAGAAGAGCTCCTTCTTTGGCCACGCCAGGAAGTGAAAGGCTCCACGTTTTAAAATGCGTAATAGGAAAATATCACTAGGGATGAGTAATCCAGATAAGTTTCGCAAGCAAATTTAAGACAACTTACAATATCTTCAAGGAAGACACACTACTAAACGCTCTCTTTGACAGTTTGGTTATCATATTAAATGACAAATCCCTGAAAATAGGATAGAAAGGACTTCACATGCAGGCAGCAACAACAACCAAGCTAAGGGTCAGACACGTTTCAATTGAGCATCGTTAGAAATAAAACTTAAATAGTCTCATTAGCAAATCAGAACTGTGAGAAAATAACCGCTGAACACAGAACTAATGAGAACTAAATTAGATTTAGTCTTTTTACTCCAATTGAAAGTAATTTCACAACCTGAATGGCTAATTTGTCGTTGTTGACAAGAATACAGACAAAGCTGCTCACGTCAACGTGCCACACAATGGTCACGCACTGAAAGAATCGTTTTCAGTTCTTGACGTCGATATTATATTAAAAAAATCGACGATAGTTTAACGTGTAAAGGTGGTAAGTTTCTAAAGAAACTGTGGTGCTGCGTTAATGGGAGAGTATAACAAGGTAATTTAATGTTATCAACTGAGTTGAAAACGTAAATCAGCCACCTTATAGAGTCTAGAGGCTGACGTTTCGAGTGTTAGCCATTCGTCAGAGCGATTGACTGAAGGCTAACGCTCGAAACGTCAGCACTTAAACTCTACGGTTGCCAATTTACGTCTTCAACCTAGTTGATAACACCAGATTAGTAATTTAACGTGGTCTGTACTCTTATCGACAAAGATATTCGTTATCTTAGTGGTCAAAATTTGTTGCGGACTCATAAGATTTACAATGCCTACAATTAATACAGATTTCTACACTGCATGCAAAAGATGATTAGATAAACTAAGTAGACTGAGCTATCTTAACTCTCCATTAGAGATACGCTGAGGCTTGAATGACCACCATCACAACTCGTGCGCCATCACACTTACTGTATACTATTTGTTGTTGTTTTTTCTTGGAAACTACAAGATTGGCGATCTAACTTAATTTTACTTACAAGGAAATAATTCCATCAAACGGCCGTAAAAACTTTTTGTCGAGAGAAGAAATTCCATTCCTTGACAGCACCCTATGGAAGAAAGTAAAAAGGAAAGTGATAGGCGATGAAATAAAAAATTGCGCCTCTTATGGCATCAGAAATTTGTCATGACGAGCAATTTTTTTTTCAGGGTGTCTCAAGTAATTCAGAACTTCTTCGGTTTTGCTTCACGTCGCTGTGCAATTGGTCCAGAAAAAATCGTGCCACCTTCTCAACCAATCAAATTCAAAACTTGAACAAGTCGCGTCTTGTCCACTCGCGTTTTCCCGCGCTTTGAACATTTCGCGTGTTTTTAATTTGAGTTCTGACTGGCTGGCCCTTTTGATGTTTTCCCGCGCTCTGAATAGCCGTCGTGGATTCCTCAGTTTTGTAGAACTTGCCTCGTTTGCAAGGGCTTTGGGGTATTTCAATCTTACTATCAGCCCGATTGGATCATTATCATAATTATTATTATTATCTTCTCCTCATGAAAACGTAAACGAAGGTAACACGCATTTCTAACCGACCCGTTCCCAGTCTTCTTAAAAATGAGATACGCTGAGTGACTTGGAATATTGTACACTACTTGTTTCTGCGATTGAAAAGTAAAACACATTTGATCCTCATTCACAAGCTATTCACACGTTATATTGTTGTTGTTATCTTGAAGCATGTTACGTTCACACGAAGACATGATAAAAGGGGAAAAAATTAAAAATTAGAAAACTGAAACAAAGGTTTAAAATCCGCTCGTAATCAAGAGGATTAACATATTTAACACTGTCAAAACGATTTCAAAGATGATCCTCAACTGACAATCCCTAGAGCTTAGATATCCGTCGAGTTTATCGAGGATATTTTTCATTCAAGAAACAAAACTGAAAACCGTGAAGAGAATACAGGCCTTATGAAGAGATAAATCAACTAGCTATATTGGGTTCGCTTTCTTACATCGACGTGTGAAAAAAAAAAAGAAAAAAAAAAGGAGTTTGAGAGCGACCTTCATCATCTTATTTCTCTGAGATTTCCAGAAAAAAAATGAGGTTGAATAAACTGCCATTTAACTGGATTCTAAATGAATAAAATTTCCAACGACATTTGTTGAATTGTAAATGTGATGTTTTAAGAAAAAATGGAATTTGCCTTAAGTCCATAAATAAGTTGATATCAAGGAGATTTCTTGTCCCTTTTGGGAACAGACTCCATGTCCGGTCCCAACAAAGTGTTCCAAGCCGTTTTCGCGGAAGGAGAAATGGTTTCGATTGTAATTTTTATCAATTAGTTCCCTGATCAAAAATAGATAATAATATTTCTCGCGGATAGGGGTATCTAGTCGTTTGTTGACTGGGTAAAGGCCACCTTTCCTGCAGCTAAAGTCGTTGATTGACTTTAACACTATAGACAGGTCCATTCGCTGTGAATTCACTAAGTCAATAAAAAGCGTCCTCTCAAAGAGAATGGCAAATTAAATGACAGATAGTTACAAAGTCTGGTTTGTACTCGGCTAGTCCTACCGCAAAATTCATCTGAAAGATATCTACTTACAAGGCGCAGATGTTGACTCGTGAAGGAATAACAATTTCTCGAAGGCGTGTTGCGTTGCAAGTCACCTCAGTCAGGTTTTTAAGTCCTCTGAAAGGACAAACTGAACATTTACAGTTATCGCTGCATGGCGTAGAAATATCAGGACCTCTTACTGCTCGGATAAAAGTCAGTGTGAGAAGTACGATTTTCTTCAGACACGAAATCATATTGTTTAGGTCAAGGCACGTTTCGCCAGTTAGGAGATCAAAACGCAGTTGCAGGTTTTTGCTTCTGGCGCACGCATTGGGAATCCCAAAGTTTATATCATAAAGGTGTTTTTATATTAAATTTGCATTTGCTGAATTATCGATAAAATTGATCATTTATTTGTCCCACGTCATTCATGTAACAACGCAGAGTTTATTTAGAAATGCATTAGTGATCGACACAAGCAGATGACGTTTAAAAGTTTCAATAGGTAAATGGCTTTTTTTTCGGCGGAAATGGGAAGAAAAATAAGTACTGTCTTATTAGAAGCTAACCTTATTTAGCTTAAATTTTTCGTTAACATTTTAGAAAACAGTTAAAGGTGTTGTAGTTAATTAAAATGTTGAAAGGAAGTTACTGTAAGGAAAACGAACAAATATTGTGACCAGTGATGGCTCCCATCCCTTTGTACAATAATTTCCTTCATTTTTTACCTTGATTTAAAGTCTTGCAGTGTTTGTTTTTCTTTTTTGCTCTGAAGTGAAAATAAATGAAGTTTGTCTATTGTCTTACTAATTTAACCCAACATATTGACTTAAATATTTTCAACTGAAACAATGAATTTTCCAAACCACTGAAATGAAGCTTTTAAGATCAAAAATACTATCAATGCAGTATTATGAATAAAATATGAGCTTCCGATTACATGACTTTTCTGGATTTTTCTCAATCAGTGTGTTTTTTTTTCGATTGCAATGCTCGTACGTTTAAATGGCAGAAACGAAGGTTAGCGATGATAACGTGTATGAGGCGGACAAGTAATTTGATTCATCGTTAGCGAAAATTAACTAGTTTTATGAAACCTCCCTAAAGCTAAAAATTTAACACGTTTTTCTCGATTAATAAAGTTAAAATAGTGAAAAACAACAAGGTTTTAAAACATTGCAGCCAATGTAGCCTACGGGAAATGCTTCCTCGTTCTGCGATTTTCTGGCGAGCCGAGACGAATGTAAAGGGTTAGACATGCGTAGGAAAAAGAGATTATTCCATGGAAAGTACGCACACACTATTTTTATTCACGAGTTGCGATGTATTAAAAAAAATAACGAGTGAGCGCAGCGAAGGAGTGAGTTTCTTGATGCTTTGCAATGAGGCATGGTATAATGTTTTTATTTCATACATACTGTGATTTTTTCTCATTAACCGACACATTTCAAAGATTGGAAGCCATTTGTTGCCCTCTACTGCGAAGTACCATCGTTCGTGTACGTTGTATTTCAAACAGTCGTTCGTCCAGTATAACTAAAATAGAGGGACACCTCCTCTCGTGCGTTTCTTGCTTCTCACCCTTTCCTTGCACTCTCCTCGCTCTATCCTTGCGTTCTCCTTGCACGCGAAAGCTGATCATTGGGAAGGGCAGGGGCCATGAGTCAAGTCATTAAATTTAATCTCGTCATAATTTTAGCAGTATGAGGTGGTTGGAGTTGTCTTTCATTTCTCAGTAAGTTACTTTTTCTTAATCTGTTGGAATTTGCTTTATTCCTTATTTATGGTGTCATGTAACTTGAGAATCTGGCAGGCGAA